GAAGCTTAAGATCAATAGTGGGTTGTATCAGTAAAGCATGAGAAATGGTGTTCTTCAAATAACGCAAGATACATTTGACGGCTGCCCAATGTGGCTCCATTGGATTTTGCATATACTTGCTGACTTTATGGACTGCAAAAGCAAGTTTAGGCCGAGTAAAAGAAAGATATTGCAACCCTCCAACCACACTTCAATACAAATGAGGGTCATGAAAAGGTATGCCATCAAATTTTGTTAAGGGCTAAGAGGTCGACATTGGAGCAACACAAGGCTTTGCTTTGTCCATTTTACTGCGTATAAGGAGATCAAGAATGTAGCGACGCTGAGATAAATACAGACCATGATCACGGCGGATGGCCTCAATACCCATAAAGAAACTAAGTTCACCTATATCTTTTACTGCAAAGTTGTCCTGCAGCAAGCTTATCACTAATGGCGTGTATATCTGTACCAGTTACAATTATGTCATCAACATAAATTAAAAAATAAATAAGAGTGGAGCCATGTTGAAAAATATAGAGGGAATGATCAGCTTGACTTCCTATAAAGCCAATGGCATGTAGCTGATCAGTCAAGTGAGAAAACCATGCTCGTGATGCTTGATAAAGACCATAGAGTGACTTTTGCAGCTTACAAACATGTTGTGAAAATTGAGGATGAATGAACCCTGGAGGCTGAGTCATATAGACATCTTCTTGCAAGAGGCCATGTAAGAATGCATTTTGTACATCAATTTGTTGAAGATGCCAACCACGAGAGACTGCTAGTGATAGAACCAACCTTATAGTGGTAGGTTTCACCACAGGACTAAATGTCTCGCCAAAATCAACACCCTCCTGTTGATGGAATCCTTTGGCGACTAGGCGTGCTTTAAAACGGTCAATACCACCATCAGCTCTTCTTTTAATTCTGTACACCCATTTGCATCCAACAAGATTGGCATTAGGAGGTTTAGGAACCAAAGTCCAAGTTCCAGNACAATAAGCACCAACTGATCTTTTGTCATCATGATCGGATGCCCAATCTGCATCGCTGAATGTTTGAAGCTTAAGATCAATAGTGGGTTGTATCAGTAAAGCATGAGAAATGGTGTTCTTCAAATAACGCAAGATACGTTTGACGGCTGCCCAATGTGGCTCCATTGGATTTTGCATATACTTGCTGACTTTATGGACTGCAAAAGCAAGTTTAGGCCGAGTAAAAGAAAGATATTGCAACCCTCCAACCACACTTCAATACAAATGAGGGTCATGAAAAGGTATGCCATCAAATTTTGTTAAGGGCTAAGAGGTCGACATTGGAGCAACACAAGGCTTTGCTTTGTCCATTTTACTGCGTATAAGGAGATCAAGAATGTAGCGACGCTGAGATAAATACAGACCATGATCACGGCGGATGGCCTCAATACCCATAAAGAAACTAAGTTCACCCATATCTTTTACTGCAAAGTTGTCCTGCAGCAAGCTTATCACTAATGGCGTGTATATCTGTACCAGTTATAATTATGTCATCAACATAAATTAAAAAATAAATAAGAGTGGAGCCATGTTGAAAAATATAGAGGGAATGATCAGCTTGACTTCCTATAAAGCCAATGGCATGTAGCTGATCAGTCAAGTGAGAAAACCATGCTCGTGATGCTTGATAAAGACCATAGAGTGACTTTTGCAGCTTACAAACATGTTGTGAAAATTGAGGATGAATGAACCCTGGAGGCTGAGTCATATAGACATCTTCTTGCAAGAGGCCATGTAAGAATGCATTTTGTACATCAATTTGTTGAAGATGCCAACCACGAGAGACTGCTAGTGATAGAACCAACCTTATAGTGGTAGGTTTCACCACAGGACTAAATGTCTCGCCAAAATCAACACCCTCCTATTGATGGAATCCTTTGGCGACTAGGCGTGCTTTAAAACGGTCAATACCACCATCAGCTCTTCTTTTAATTCTGTACACCCATTTGCATCCAACAAGATTGGCATTAGGAGGTTTAGGAACCAAAGTCCAAGTTCCATTGGCTAACAAGGCATCAAACTCTTTATTCATAGCCTCTCGCCAATTAAGATGTTTAACTGCAGTGGAATAGCAAGTGGGTTCTTTTTCTTGTGGTTGGATTGTGGCCATAAGTGCTTTTGGAATGGGATATCGAATATGGGAGTCAGAAGCTAATTTTGGCTTGTGGATGTTGTTTTTGCTTCGTGTAACCATGGAGTGTAAATTTTGATATTGCTGGCGAGGTGGAGAAGGTAAGGGAGGAGGTGCTGGATTGTCTTTATGCTGAGGTAGAGTAGTATCCCTGGCAAGAGAAGCTGAAGCAATATGAAGATCAGTTTGAGGACTAGAGGTCGAGGCCATATGCAGAGGGCTTGGTGCAGCAAGCTGAACACTTGTACTTGTAAAAACAAAGGAGCTAGAGTGTGATAGGTTGAGATTTGGTGGGAGTACAATAGGAGCAGATTTTGGAGTAGACTCGATAAACTCAGGGACTATATAGGGATAAAGAGATTCATCAAAGACAACATGACGTGATACGAAGATTTTGCCGGTAGATACATCTAAATACTTGTATCCTCGATGACCAACACTATACCCAATAAATATGCAGGTTTTAGATCGAAAGTCCATCTTATGTCAATTAAATGGACGTAAATAGGGCCAACAAGCGCAACCAAAGGCACGCAAAAAAGTATAATCTGGTTTGTGATGATGGACCATTTCATATGGTGATCGATGTTGTAAAATTGGAGTTGGCAATCTATTGATAATAAAAACTGCAGTTAAGAAGGCATCTTCCCAAAATATTTTTGGTAAATTAGAGTGAGCAAGTAATGCCAAACCAACTTCAACAATTTGCCTGTGGCGCCTTTCAATGGCACCAGTTTGCTGATGGGTAGATGGACAGGTTAGTCAATGACTAATTTCTTGATTTTGTAAATGTTTAGTTAGGCTGCGATATTCACCTCCCCAATCGGATGGGAGAGCCTTTATTTTGGTATCAAATTGGCATTCTACAGCAGCTTGAAAACATATAAAGACTTGATATGCATCAGATTTGAGTTTCAAGGGAAAAATCCATAAGAATTTAGTAGCATCATGCAGAAAACTTATGTAATAACGTGCACCAGATGTTGGTAAAACAGGGGCTGGCCCCCAAACATCTGAATAAAGTAACTCCAATGGTTGCAAAACAGAAACATGCACTGTTTTAAAGGGCATAGCATGGCTCTTAGCCAGCTGACAGTCAGAACAAATAGAAGTATTTTTATTCTGGACAGGAAATAAAATAGCCTTATTGATAACTGGTAGAGAAGCATGACGGAGACGGCGGTGCCATATATTGGCAGATACACGAACACTAGATAAAGCTTGTGGCTGAAGACGAGCAAGAGAAGCCAAGAAGTTGTAAAGACCATTACTGAGTGGTCCTCGATGCAGGATGTTCCCCAAGTAATCCTTCACAAGAAAGAAAGAAGCATGAAATTCAAAGAAAACATTATTGTATAGACAAAAACGCTGAACAGAGAGAAGATTTTTCTGAATATCGGGAACAAGCAAAATTTGATTAAGTACAAAAGACTTGGAAGGAGATGAGAGAGTGGAAGTTCCACTTTGTACTATTTTCAGACCTGCACCGTTAGCCACCTGGATATGATCTTGACCGCCATAGTCTTCATTCTGAAGATGAATATTGTTCACATCATTGGTGAGATGATGGGCAGCTCCTGTGTCGGGATGCCACTCATTATCAATTTGTTGATAGTGCGCAGCAACCATAGCTTGTGGCTGATTCTTAGGAGTTGGTTGGTCCTGATAAGAGAGATTAAAACGGTGATAGCATTTTCTGGAAGTATGGCCTGGTTTGAAGCATACCTGACATATAACTGAGTTTGATGGACCCTGATCATGGGAGTTGAAACGACCACTACGTCCTCTGCCACGGTAGCCACCGCGAGCACGGTTGGAATGGGGAAAATTTGCTGCCGTGCGAAAAGTGGATTGATATTGCTGTTGAGGTTACTTGGTGGCCATGTTGATTGAAGCAGTAGTTTGAAGGGACTGATTATTGTGATTAATTCGTGACTCACAGATGAGAAGGAGTGAGTAAAGTTCCTCCAAGGTGACAGGATCAGATCGAGAAGTCATTGTTGAAGCCAAAGAATCATATTCCTGGCCAAGTCTCGCAAGCACATAGGTGATTATGTCATCAGGTTTTAGTGGTTGTCTAGCAAGAGCAAGTTCATCAGCCATTCGCTTGATGGAGAGAAAATATGCATTAGCAGACAGAGCGCCTTTTCGAGCATTTGCCAGCTAAGTGCGAATCTGAATTGCTTTAGCACGGGGAAATTGAAGAAAAGGTTCGCTCTAGTGCAAGCCAAACCTCTCGAGAGGTTGTATAAGACATGACTTGAGTGAGAACATCTTCAGTAAGTGAAGCATTAATGGTGGCGAGGATTAGAGAATCCTGACGAAGCCATTGAATATAATGAGGATTGGGGAATTTAATAATAGCACCTATGCTGGGATGAGGAGCATCAATTTCTTGAGGTGGGGTTGGGATTATGCCATCAAGGTAGCCAAAAACAGCTTGACCTTTGAAGTAGCGTAGGGCCTGAGCTTTCCATACAGGATAGTTGGAGGAGTTGAGCTTGATGCTAATAGTAAAAGGAAGATTGGAGAGGGTTGGGACAGTAATAGTAGGATCAGTAGAATTATTTGAGGTTGAGGAGGTTGAGGAGGCCATTAAGGATCGGAAGGGAGTAGACGTTGGTCTTTTAGTAGTGCTCTGATACCATGTAGAAAATGTATTCAAGTTGATGAAAATATGAAGGCTTGAATTTCTATTATCTCTTTGTTGTACATATACAAGGACTTTAAATAGACTTTGAATAGGACTATAACTGTTATCCTACTTAGTTGCCTATACAACGTATGTATTCAAAATTGAAAAGTTGTTAGCTATACTCCTAAACAAGTGGAGTTTGTTGAGGTGTTTTAAACTACTTAAACAGAGGAGTCTTCTCCGGTTGAATTGGTCTCATTGACCTGTTCTTCGACAATGACTTTCCATTGTGAGAACAAGCAACCGCTACATACTTTATTTCTCCATCATCCCCTTTTAAAGATGTTCTTTTAGACACGGGAAAACTCATTTCCTTCCCATATGTCGTATAGTATTCTACAATCTCATCAATTGTATCAAACAACATTCCAATGGTAGGCTGCTTTATTTTGTCGTCTCTATTTCTTGTTTCCTCCATTTCATCCTCATTCTTTTCTTTATTCGATTCCACACTTATAGAACCACTAGATATCTCTTCATCCACGCCTGTATAATTAAACTATCAATCAATATTATTAATCTATATCTATACTACTTCTAAAAGTATCTTGAAAGGAAAAACTTTTGTTTTCCTCTTTTATCCTCAATGAATAATCTTTTGTCAATTTCATCCATCATTTATAGGTATCATAACTGAATTGTTAACATTCTCTGTGTGAATAATAAATTATAATTAATTGAGCATTTACAATTTGGAAGTCTAAAAGACAAAGAGTAAATACATCATTAATATTTTACCTTATAAAAAATACAAAAGTTTTCTCTTTTATCCTCATTCAATAATCTTTTCATCACTGTTCAGTTTTCTAACCGATGAGGAACATTCAATCAAGAACATGTTCAAGAAGTTTAAAAGGTATTCACCATTATCTTTTTCCAGTTCTTCTCCTTCCGTCACATGCCAATTCAATGCATCGATCAAAAACCCTAGAAGTAGGTCCAATCATGATCATTGCACATCTTGGGATTTTGAGTGGATCTCAGTTGGTTCTTACAATTCATTGTCACAAATTGTATTATGGCCTTTAGATTGCTCTACTTGGTGAATAACGCAACCTTCAAGTACTTTGTTGTTGATGGCAATTTCGACAAGTCTGAGCCTGTTTATTCCACTACTATTACCACTTCTTCTTCTTCTTCTCCTCCTTCTTCTACCGGTTATACGCCATCATCCATGATGCCGAGGTTATTGGGACCCACTGCGATTATTGCGTTGCATGTGGAAATTTGACCAAGAAGCAGCTTTGGCTGCAAAATAGTTAAATNTTACCACTTCTTCTTCTTCTTCTCCTCCTTCTTCTACCGGTTATACGCCGTCATCCATGATGCCGAGGTTATTGGGACCCACTGCGATTCTTGCGTTGCATGTGGAAATTTGACCAAGAAGCAGCTTTGGCTGCAAAATAGTTAAATACTGGTACAAATTCAATTCATTGTTACACCCAAGACTTGCATCCAATTACATAGAAATATTCGTTATGATTATTATTTTTTGTGGTGGTTTTTTTTTTCTAAATTAAACTTATTGCAATTGTTTTAGAATTTTTCAGTTTTTTCTATCCTTCCTGTTGTTGTTATGGGGACTTATCTTGATTCCAAAGTTAAGGCCTTCAAGGTTGGTAGTGGTGGATTTACCCAATGTGGACTGGAACTTTTACTGAACTACTGGGACTCGATAAATATCTTTGACNTCTAAATTAAACTAATTGCAATTGTATTAGAATTTTTCAGTTTTTTCTATCCTTCCTGTTGTTGTTATGGGGACTTATCTTGATTCCAAAGTTAAGGCCTTCAAGGTTGGTAGTGGTGGATTTACCCAATGTGGACTGGAACTTTTACTGAACTACTGGGACTCGATAAATATCTTTGACGTTCAAAAAAATTATATATTTAATTAAATTTAAGCTACTCACGCTTTGGTAGTATCTTCAAATGCATTGTTACTTTTTTTTTCTTGTAGGGAATAGATCTTCCAATACTATTGATGTTCAAAAAAGTACACCAATGCTTGCATCGAATGAATAATACGTCACTTAGACCATAACTACTTATCNAAATTATATATTTAATTAAATTTAAGCTACTCACGCTTTGGTAGTATTTTCAAATGCATTGTTACTTTTTTTTTCTTGTAGGGAGTAGATCTTCCAATACTATTGATGTTCAAAAAAGTACACCAATGCTTGCATCGAATGAATAATACGTCACTTAGACCATAACTACTTATCACTTTTTCATTTGGTTTTACATTCTACTTTAATTTCTTTCAATGAACCTTTAATTTCTTCCAATGAACCTTGATATCATTACTTCAGTTTCATTTGGTGGAGCATCATCAGACCATTATTTTGGTGGCTGGGAAATGGTTATTGCTTTGACCATGTCCTCTGTATTTATATAATAGTCTTTTTTATAAGTAGTGATTCATATGTATTACNTACTTTTTCATTTGGTTTTACATTCTACTTTAATTTCTTTCAATGAACCTTTAATTTCTTCCAATGAACCTTGATATCATTATTTCAGTTTCATTTGGTGGAGCATCATCAGACCATTATTTTGGTGGCTGGGAAATGGTTATTGCTTTGACCATCATTATGTCCTCTGTATTTATATAATAGTCTTTTTTATAAGTAGTGATTCATATGTATTACTGTTGTATGTTCCTGCAGCTTAAAAACTTTTGGTAAATCGACCAAGGTTAGTTCACCAAGGGACTAAACAGAGTTCATCCTTGAAATTTTTTATTTTTGCAATTCATTCATTTTCATTTCCTTTTCCTTTAAATTTAATAGCAAAGGAAAGAACTCACAGAGAAAAGAGAAAATTTCAATTTTTTAGACTTATGNGACTAAACAGAGTTCATCCTTGAAATTTTTTATTTTTGCAATTCATTCGTTTTCATTTCCTTTAAATTTAATAGCAAAGGAAAGAACTCACAGAGAAAAGAGAAAATTTCAATTTTTTAGACTTATGTTGTTTAGTTTTTAATAATCTGTTTTAATTAATGAACATTTTGCTTCCTACCCAAAGAAAGTTTCTAAAAATCTGCTTGTACTTGGAAACAAATATTCTTAATTAATAGAGGACTTCATTAAGCAGATATTGTCTTTTCTTTGAACTCAATGATAGATCAACCATAGGATATTGAATTTATATTTATCTCTTCACACCATGTAGAGGTAAAGGAAAATCTTGGTTTGATTTTGAACCCCGAGGTTCTGGGCGGATTAATTGGGAGATGTTCTTGGACTGGATTGGATTGGATTGGATTTGCAAACTTGGTGGAGGTGAGAAAGTACAATTATTGCTGAAGTATAGGAGCATGTTAACAAAAAGGTTTTTGTAGTTGCCTAAACTATCTCTCTCTCTCTCGTAGATTTTATCTTTGTCCCAAATGCCTAAACTATTGTCTCTAGTGCTAAACTACTTTAAAACATTCTCATAACATCACTANCTCAATTTGTAGCATAGTGGAAACATACCCGACATTTCTTAAGAACCAACATCACAAATGTAAAACCTCGAAAGCAGTGAGATATCAATGTTATAAGGATTGGTAAACTTTGTTTCCTTACTTCTAAAAGTTGTTAGTCCTTGTACAAACCTAAACTCTACTTATACATCTTTTTCCTTGCCCAAAGAAAAAAAAAGAAAAGAAAGAACCAGTTGAAACTTGGCCGAGTCTATGTGAGGTACCTTTGTATTTAATGTGTTTGTGAAACATTGATACATTATCATCCAAAACTTGAAAATCATTCGCATGTTGGCTCAACCCCATCGTTCATCTATAATTGGAATAGGTCCGAGACTGGCCGAATTTTTAATATTTCCTGGTCATGAGTATGAACTCTTTTTATTTGATAAATTGGATGACAACCAAAGGAAAGAGAAATTTAGGCAAGTCCATCTTTCTATTAATGAATGATGTTTCTTAATGTTAGAGATGGTATGAAATTGAATATTCTTGATTTCCATCCTCATGAAAGTCCCCAATAGCAACATTTTATTTTTTACTTTTTTGATACATGATCTAATAATTGGTAATAATGGCTATCAGACTTCAAGGAAGATGAATAAGATGGTAAACCTAGGCCTGTCAAAATTCGACACGACACGATTAGTCAACACGAATTAAACGGGTTTGGGTGATAAACGGGTTGACACGTCAAACACGTTTAATAAATGGGTCGTGTTCGGATGAGATCTGTCAAACCGTTTATCACCCATTTAACAGTTTAAATAAATTTAATATAATAATAAATGAGTAAAGAAAAAAAAGTAAAAAAACATTTCCAAAAAAAAAAAAGTAAAGAAATCAGTTCAAAAAAAAAAAAAGAAACAAAAGCTTTAAGTTGTTGAAGCATTGATCTACTTGTTCTTTGAATCCCACATCGGGGGGAGCGGAGAGAATGGACTTAGTTGCTTATAAAAGAGGTAGTGGCTGTTGGCTTAACAGGTGGGCTGTGGTGTGGCTTAACATAGTTGAACATTGTGGTGTGGTTTGTCATGTGGCTGACCATCGCTGGCTGTAACTTCTTTAATTGAGGAATTACTGACTGGAAAAATTTGTTAAAATAATAATTTTTTTTTTGTTATTTTTAAATGGGTCGTGTCATGTTATCCGTTTATTAAACGTGTCGTGTTTGTGTTGAAATTTTTTACCCGTTTATTAAACGTGTCGTATACGGATTCACATGATTTTTACCCGTCACCCGTTTAACTCGACACGTAACCCAGATAAGCTAAATAAGAAAAGAAAATTATTTTTTCAGTTCCTCTGTCCTGAATCTCTCTCTCTCTCTCTCATAGATTTTATCTTTGTCCCAAATGCCTAAACTATTGTCTCTAGTGCTAAACTACTTTAAAACATTCTCATAACATCACTATAGCGATGGCACAACTTCAAGCATATGTTACTGTGAGCATATACTCTTATAACCCTTCGAATTTGTCATTATGTTTCATATTGTGGCTGCCATTTTCTCCAATGGTGTATTATATTCACAGTTTTACCTTCCTAATTGGCCTTTGTGTTGCATTTCGGTGCTTATCTTGGAAATGAAGTTGGGTTAGATATTTATTCTCCAGNCTGTTCTTCGACAATGACTTTCCATTGTGAGAACAAGCAACCGTTACATACTTTATTTCTCCATCATCCCCTTTTAAAGATGTTCTTTTAGACACGGGAAAACTCATTTCCTTCCCATATGTCATATAGTATTCTACAATCTCATCAATTGTATCAAACAACATTCCAATGGTAGGCTGCTTTATTTTGTCGTCTCTATTTCTTGTTTCCTCCATTTCATCCTCATTCTTTTCTTTATTCGATTCCACACTTATAGAACCACTAGATATCTCTTCATCCACGCCTGTATAATTAAACTATCAATCAATATTATTAATCTATATCTATACTACTTCTAAAAGTATCTTGAAAGGAAAAACTTTTGTTTTCCTCTTTTATTCTCAATGAATAATCTTTTGTCAATTTCATCCATCATTTATAGGTATCATAACTGAATTGTTAACATTCTCTGTGTGAATAATAAATTATAATTAATTGAGCATTTACAATTTGGAAGTCTAAAAGACAAAGAGTAAATACATCATTAATATTTTACCTTATAAAAAATACAAAAGTTTTCTCTTTTATCCTCATTCAATAATCTTTTCATCACTGTTCAGTTTTCTAACCGATGAGGAACATTCAATCAAGAACATGTTCAAGAAGTTTAAAAGGTATTCACCATTATCTTTTTCCAGTTCTTCTCCTTCCGTCACATGCCAATTCAATGCATCGATCAAAAACCCTAGAAGTAGGTCCAATCATGATCATTGCACATCTTGGGATTTTGAGTGGATCTCAGTTGGTTCTTACAATTCATTGTCACAAATTGTATTATGGCCTTTAGATTGCTCTACTTGGTGAATAACGCAACCTTCAAGTACTTTGTTGTTGATGGCAATTTCGACAAGTCTGAGCCTGTTTATTCCACTACTATTACCACTTCTTCTTCTTCTTCTCCTCCTTCTTCTACCGGTTATACGCCGNACAATCCAAATAATTTGCTAAAAAATTATTGATGCACAAAGTAAAAATAAGAAAGAAAAAAAGAAAAAAAAATCTATAAACCTTACTACTTGGTAACTCGAATGAAAGAATCATAAAAACTGAGTTCATTGGGTGTTTATAGTTACTAGTTGATACACATGTGTGTTGTACGTGGATTATTTCAAGTTATTATAATTTTTATTTACTATTTTTATAATAAAATATTGTTTGGTCAAATTATAGTTAAATGGCCATACTGAAATTTTTAAGAATGCAGTGCTCATGTGTGTTGCATATGAACTTTTTAAAATTAGTATAATAATTTGTAGTTTTTTTAGGCATCTTACAAATATCAAAACCTATATTTTATTGTAGATCCGTAAACCAATGACTCAGTTGTATAGTAGAGGTCAGACCAAATACAAGCAATTAATTATCACAATACAAATTAAAACAATCAAGGATAACAATTCATATGTTTGACAAATAAATAATGATGCATAGATCTAAAATTCTTAGAAATTTTGGATGGGCCCAGACCAATAGTTCAACCTGCAAATTGGCTGATGAATAGTGAAATTCCCTTTTTCAAATTAAAAAGTAGCACATATACGTAACTTTAAAGAAACTGTTTAAGTCTCCTTCTTCAAATTATGTACCACAACCATACTGGTAAAAGTCAACCAAAGCTAATTAAAATGTCCAACAAACATCTCTACTAAGATGTTTGGTTGTAATTCATATTCATGATAATTATAACACCATTTTTTTTATTNGGTTCCTTGGGTGTTTATAGTTACTAGTTGATACACATGTGTGTTGTACGTGGATTATTTCAAGTTATTTACTATTTTTATTTACTATTTTTATAATAAAATATTGTTTGGTCAAATTATAGTTAAATGGCCATACTAAAATTTTTAAGAATGCAGTGTTCATGTGTGTTGCATATGAACTTTTTAAAATTAGTATAATAATTTGTAGTTTTTTTAGGCATCTTACAAATATCAAAACCTATATTTTATTGTAGATCCGTAAACCAATGACTCAGTTGTATAGTAGAGGTCAGACCAAATACAAGCAATTAATTATCACAATACAAATTAAAACAATCAAGGATAACAATTCATATGTTTGACAAATAAATAATGATGCATAGATCTAAAATTCTTAGAAATTTTGGATGGGCCCAGACCAATAGTTCAACCTGCAAATTGGCTGATGAATAGTGAAATTCCCTTTTTCAAATTAAAAAGTAGCACATATACGTAACTTTAAAGAAACTGTTTAAGTCTCATTCTTCAAATTATGTACCACAACCATACTGGTAAAAGTCAACCAAAGCTAATTAAAATGTCCAACAAACATCTCTACTAAGATGTTTGGTTGTAATTCATATTCATGATAATTATAACACCATTTTTTTTATTGTTATTACTCTAAACAAGCAATTTATTAGACTTTTTAACAGTAACCAAATTCTAATTATTCTTCTGAATGTTAATACACATGGTGTGTTTGTGTTTGATTTCTCCGTGAAAATTCAATTTTGTTGGTATCATAAAATCTAGGATGAATTCGCAAAAAAAAAATTATAATAGATATTAGTAGAAGAATAATACCACAAAAAGTAGAGATGCACCAAATGTTGAAATGCAGAGAGAATTAAATACGAGGAGTAGTGCATGCTTAGAGCAGCAAAGAAAGAAGGGAACATCGAGGGTTTCTGGAAAAGGTAAAGAACAGAGAGAAAGAGGTTTATTTGGAGTAGGGGAAGATGAAGATGAAATGATAGGGGAGAGAGAAGATTGGGAGGCGTAGATTTTTTTTTTTGGAACATGAGAAGGCTTAGGTTTATTTTGGCTTCAATGTTGAGGGATAAGAATGAGATAGTTGTGATTTTGGAAGATAAAAATGAAAAAAAAAATATTTTCCAAATATACTCGCTTTTTAAAGTAGTATAAATGAAGAGAATACAAACAATTTAAGTATGATAAATATTAGATAATATTTAATGTAGCTACATAATTAGATTTTTTTTTATGTATTTTAACAAATGTTTCAACAAAAACTTTTACATGCAACGCACGTCGTACATTGCTAGTGAATTAAATGAATAGCAATATAAGGTAATTAATTTAATTTTCTATGAGCAATATTCAATGACCATAAAAAAAAAGTGTTTACAATCAGCTATACACATTCTCTTTCATGAGTTAAAGTATAAAAATTTCTTCTTTTTTCCAAACATGAGATGATTAGAATGTACTAACTCACAACTTATATTTGGATACTCTATTGATTTATCACGTGCCAATTAAACAAATATAACAAATATCAAATACCAAACCCTAAAACATTAATCTATGTGTGCACACTAAGATATCGAATAAAATCGAGATGGAATTCATTATTTTTTGTTATTGTATTTGAATATTATATATTTTTATTTGTATTTGGACATTCTAACAGTAAGGGGTACCTCCTCCATACGTTGAGAAGACATATATAGTACGGGGGAGACGACTCTCTCCCGATGTGGGACGAGAGGTAAAGGCTACTGGATGATCTAGACACCCAGGTCAGCTAGAATCCTTCTGTGGAGGGTGATACCCCTTACACTAACAATTTATCAACTTCAAAAATACAAGGAAAATATCAAAAATCGAACCCTAGGAAACCAATTGAAATGTATGTGCATACCTGACATATAGATCAAAAAAGTCTAATGCATTTTGTTCAATTGGGTTCCTAGGGTTCGATTTTTGATATTTTCCTTATACTTTTGAAGTCGATAAATTGTTAGTGTAAGGGGTATCACCCTCCACAGAAAATGTATGCGCCTTTTTGTAAGGGGTATCACCCTCCACAAAAGGATTCTAGCTGACCTAGTGTCTAGACCACCCAGTAACCTTTACCTCTCGTCCCACATCGGGAGAGAGTCGTCTCCCCCCTGCCATGTAAGTCTTCTCAACGCAGGGGGGAGACGACTCTCTCCCTATGTGGGATGAGAGGTAAAGACAATTGGTTGGTCTAGACACCCAGGTCAGCCAGAATCCTTCTGTGGAGGGAGATATCTCTTACACCAATAATTTATCAACTTCAAAAATATAAGGAAAATATCAAAAACCGAACCCTAGGAACCCAATTGAAATGTATGTGCATACTTGACATATCGATTGAAAAAGTCCGATGAATTTTGTTCAGACTAGTTGTGTGAGGTAAAATGGCAAACAAAAATCACCACAAAAAATTTGAAAACTAGACCGTGTTCATGTCGATTGAGATTTACTAGGAAAAAAATGATTTGATGAAAGTAAAAACAAATTTTGGCGTCTTGCACTACAACCAAGGAAGTAAAAAGGTGCTAAAGCAACTAACGGGTTGGGTTGTATTTTGATGGAAGCACTTTGACAATGTTACTCAATTTGAAATGGTTGGTTTCATAAGGTTGTAGGCCCCATTTAACAGTTGGTCATTCCATGCCATTTGGTAGGGATGTTAGTCTAATGAGCCTGAATCGAGTTCGAGCCGAGCTTGAAAAGCNTCTAAATGACAATCAATCTCAAACACAACACACACAGACCACAATACACACACACACACAGAATGAACACAACAAACAAGCGCACACACACACACATACTCAACACAACACACACAAAGACTCGTCATTCACACACACACACACACACACATAAATTCAACACAACACACACACACACACAAGCACAAAACTGTGTATGTATGCACAAATTTGTACATATATACACAGAGAGTGTCTTCGTCTTATGGGTTTCACAGAGAACGAGAGCGAGATAGAGAGAAAACATCGTCTTATGGGTTTCACAGAGAGTATCGTATAGAGAGAGAGAGACAATGAAAGAGCTCATTTGTCTTCCACAAGGAGCATAGAGAACACAATAGAGAGAGTAAGGCAGNTAAACTCAACATAACACACACACACACAAGCACAAAACTGTGTATGTATGCACAAATCTGTACATATATACACAGAGAGTGTCTTCGTCTTATGGGTTTCACAGAGAACGAGAGCGAGATAGAGAGAAAACATCGTCTTATGGGTTTCACAAAGAGTATCGTATAGAGAGAGAGAGACAATGAAAGAGCTCATTTGTCTTCCACAAGGAGCATAGAGAACACAATAGAGAGAGTAAGGCAGTGATGGTTCGTGGTCTGATACTGAGAAAGGAGAGAGGAGAAAGAGAGAGAGAAGCGATAGGGAGGAGAGAGGTGATAAAATAGGTTTTTATACTTCTACAAAAAAAAACNAAGAGTATCGTATAGAGAGAGAGAGAGAGACAATGAAAGAGCTCATTTGTCTTCCACAAGGAGCATAGAGAACACAATAGAGAGAGTAAGGCAGTGATGGTTCGTGGTCTGATACTGAGAAAGGAGAGAGGAGAAAGAGAGAGAGAAGCGATAGGGAGGAGAGAGGTGATAAAATAGGTTTTTATACTTCTACAAAAAAAAACATTGTTTTGCTGTTAAGAGGACTCGAAGTCCGGATCTCATTAATTCCCTACTCTCNGAGAGAGAGAAGCGATAGGGAGGAGAGAGGTGATAAAATAGGTTTTTATACTTCTACAAAAAAAAAACATTGTTTTGCTGTTAAGAGGACTCGAAGTCCGGATCTCATTAATTCCCTACTCTCTTGTACGTGTTGTCTCTGTTTTCGATATTTCTTGGAATGTATTTTTTTTGTTCCCAAGACAACTGAGGTGAAACAAAAACAAAAACAATTACCAAACACGTTTTTGTTTATTTTTTTTTTTTGACAAAAATTAAAAATAAGACACAAAACAAGAAACAAAAACATCAAACAAACATCCTCTAGGTGTTTGATTTTTTTTTTTATCATAGTAATTGAGCTATCTCAATTGACCATTTATTTACAAAATCTGATCAAGGCGTCAATATAGTATAAAAAAAAACTAGTCATAATCCGTGCTTGAATACACGAAAGAATATNTTTTTTTTTTTATCATAGTAATTGAGCTATCTCAATTGACCATTTATTTACAAAATCTGATCAGGGCGTCAATATAGTATAAAAAAAAACTAGTCATAATCCGTGCTTGAATACACGAAAGAATATAAAATTTCGAGTGCCAAAAAAATCGATCTCACTATATTAAATAACATATTTTTTTCCCTTCATTTTTTTAATTACATCATTTAAAATTTATTTTTACCCATTACTTTTTTAAAAATATTAACAATTTTCTCAAAATATATAATTTGACAAAATTTTCTCAACATGTGTATACTATCGTGTATGGATAATGTCAAAAATAAAAACTATGTTAAACTACAAATTAATTAAATATTAAATGATTGAACATATTATAGAAATAAATGATGCGATATTTTTGAGAGGAAAAATATGTAGGGGATAAAATTCAAATTGTTAATCCTTCGTTTGGTACGACAGAAAAATAGAAGGATGAAAAGTTGGAAGGATGAAAAGTTGGAGGGATAGATAAAATATCATGTTTAGTAAGGAAGGAACGTAAGAAGTACGTAAAAGTGAATGAATTAACTTTCCTTCTAACTCACCAAAATCAATTCCTCTAAAATCGGAAGGAAAATGGATGAAAGTTAATTATTTGTGTTGAGATGTATCTTATTTGTCTATATATATTATGTCTACATTAATTTTATATAAAAATATAATGATAAAATATGTATATATATATANTATCATGTTTAGTAAGGAAGGAACGTATGAAGTATGTAAAAGTGAATGAATTAACTTTCCTTCCAACTCACCAAAATCAATTCCTCTAAAATCGGAAGGAAAATGGATGAAAGTTAATTATTTGTGTTGAGATGTATCTTATTTGTCTATATATATTATGTCTACATTAATTTTATATAAAAATATAATGATAAAATATGTATATATATATATATATATATATTTAAAAAAATTTAAATTAAAAAAAATATTTTTTTCATCTTAATTAGGGATAAAAAATTTTAACTTAACACGATAACACGACTTAAACTCGATATAAATTTTATGACACGAACTTGAAAATGACCTGACACCCGAATAAGAAATATAAAATGCTCATAATTTTATGACTCAACACGAATCTAAAACTACACGACTCGATTGTCAACCTTAATTTTAGCCATCACAAAAAAAAAATTAGTCATTTTTATTTTCCATCCATCCAACTAAACACAAATGAAGGAAAGCGTATTCTTTCTACTTTCTATTCTTAAAATATAGAAAGTGTATTCCTCTTACTTTCCATCATTCCTACTCTCCATCCTCCCAACCAAACAACGAAACATAAGTGCTTTATTATATAGAATAGGGTATCTCTCAGAATTATTAGAAACTACAAGGGGTGTCACTAAATTTACCCAATAAGCAAATGCTACAGCTTTTACTCAGTATTGTCTTCTTCCCTCTCTAAAACCCTGACTAAGGGTATTTCGTTTCCCGCCTTCTCTCTCTCTCTGTCACTCTCTCAGTTTTATTATCTAGGGTTATTGTCCAAATCACCAAGCAGAAATCAACAGCAAGAATGGTGTCCCCAAAGCAATTACTCTCCACCATCGAATCGTCCCTTCTCGGCCCCACACCTCCGTCGCCGTCGCAGAGAATCGAGCTCATCCACGCCATTCGCCACTCTCTCTCGTCTTTCAAATCCCTCCTTTCCTATCCGGTACCCCCAACTCTCTCTCTCTCTCTGTCTCACTATATATATATAAGTACATAGATATATGCATAACAAAGAATACATGTATCAAATACGTAATGAGTACAGTAGGGCCATTGTATTTGATTCTATATGTAGCCTCCGAGGCCATCGGACCGAACTCAAGTGCAGTCGAGAGAAGCAAGGCTTCCGGATTCTGGACCGATCTCACTTGATGATCAGGATGTTAAGATTGTGAGTACATATCACCTTCGATTGTTGATAGTTTTATTCTCTCTCTCTTTCTCTCTCTTTCTCTCTGTGATGGAAGCAAAGATGTTTTCTTTTTTGAATGTTTTCAGTGAATTTCCTGTCCAATGAATAGGTTAACTCTGTTCAGTTCCCATTTTGTNCTCTCTCTCTTTCTCTCTGTGATGGAAGCAAAGATGTTTTCTTTTTTGAATTTTTTCAGTGAATTTCCTGTCCAATGAATAGGTTAACTCTGTTCAGTTCCCATTTTGTTCTAGATTTAGTTCTTTGGATGGTAGCCACCTTTTATACGGAGTTAAAGATTTGTCTGGAGTAAAGCTAGTTAACTACGATAGTATCTTTGGAGGAAAAAAAAACATAATTCATGTGATGCTATCAGTTGAGAAAGCAATAAATTTTGGGTTTTCTTATCACCTGCAGTATTATGAATGCCATGGTTTTGTTTGTCAGGGATTTGGTTTATTTTGCTTGTCTAGTTCTATGTTTTGCATTGCTTCTGTTTTACCTTTTTTGTTGCTGATAACCTGCAGGAAAAAAGAAAGAAAAATGAAATTTTATGATATTGAATTGTGTACGCCTGAAATTTATTTTCCTTCTTTTAAGAATTTGTATTTGATTCTTGCACTGATGTATTTTGACTTCTCTTCAACATTTATGTTTTTTATTTTGAAAAAGATCTAACATTATGCTCAATTTTAGGCTTTGAAATTGAGTGATGATCTCCATCTTAATGAAATAGACAGTGTGCGTTTGCTTGTTTCTGCAAACCAAGAGGTAAATACTCTTATCTTTGTTTGTTCTATTTATTCTTCATCGGAATTATCATATTGAAACATTAATCTTGTCATGCCTGGTCAATATTAATCTGTTTTTCCTATCAGTGGGGCTTATTGGGACGAGAGCCTGTAGAAATTTTACGCCTTGCAGAGGGGCTTTGGTATACAGAGAGAAGAGATCTTATAACAGCACTTTACTCACTATTAAGGGTATCACTTCTTTGGTCTTTGTTTCATCATCATCATCTGTTTTTCTATGTTATTCAGTCCTTTCCTCTCTTCCTTTTCATCTTCTTCTAAGTTTCAATTGGTGGATTTTTGCAGGCTGTCGTGCTTGACCAGGGTCTCGAAGCTGATATTGTGGCCGACATCCAGAAATACTTGGAAGATCTTATTAATGCTGGGCTTAGACAACGGTTGATTTTGCTTATAAAGGTTCGTTCATTCACAGTGATTACTACTATATTTCACCCTAAGATCACAGTGGTTCTTGAGTGATCGCACTCGTGGCCGTGTTACTTGCTGATTTTACTTAATTAAAAAAAAAGGTTACTCTTGTTATTTTTAATGTCTTATAGCATTCCTTCAATCGTTTAATGGTGCAATAAAAGGAATAATGTCAGTTAACAGAAAGAGGATGCACATGATCAATTTGTGTAGCATCAGTAAAATTATATGATTGCATACTATTAATTAGATCTCAACAGCTTTGTTTGGATGCATGGATTCATTTGATTCTTTATTTGAGTTGAAGTCGAACTAAGCATATGTTTGTTTCCCTTTTTCAAAACATTGCTGTGAGATTGTGGGGGTTTGGCATATGCCTTAATTTTTTGCTAGACAAAATGGGAAATTCAACATAAAACCAAGTAGAGAATTAACATTATCTGCATGAGGATTATGAAGGTAATGCTGTATTTTGTCCCTCAAAGACAAATATTTCAGAGGATGTAGATGAACATTGCTTAGGAGTATGATGTTGGTTGCCTTGGTACGTCGTTCTTTATTCAAAGATCCTGAAATTGGTGGGAAAAAGGATGGAGCANTGTTCCAAACATTGTGCTAACGATTGTCATCAACAAAATACAATTATATTTATGAAAAAAAAAATAATTGTTGTTAAAAATTTATAAATTGCATCATGATGATGAAAAAAAGNTGCCTTGGTACGTCGTTCTTTATTCAAAGATCCTGAAATTGGTGGGAAAAAGGATGGAGCAATTTGCAATGACCCTTTTATGAGGAGGGTTGGGAGAGGAGTTCAATTACCCTTTGGTAGGTTACCTNCTTGCCTTGGTACGTCGTTCTTTATTCAAAGATCCTGAAATTGGTGGGAAAAAGGATGGAGCAATTTGCAACGACCCTTTTATGAGGAGGGTTGGGAGAGGAGTTCAATTACCCTTTGGTAGGTTACCTCTCCACATTAAGGGGTAACTGACAAATTGGGATGGTGATATTGTTAAAAATGGGATTGAATATATAGATTTGGTTATGAGTAAGATTACTTTGTGAAGAAAGTTGCTCTGCAAATCACGGGAAGCTTTGGGTGGTGGTGGTGGAGATGAATGGTATCCATGGATTGTTTTTGTGTTAGATTAGAGGATAGGATTAGAGTGGATTTGGCCATGTTTTTAGGATCTGATTGAATCTGTTAAAAATGGACTTCTTATTTGATGTCCAATGGTTTGGGAGTGGACAGTGTTAATCAAAAGTGACTTGATAATTATTTGATTGNGTGGTGGTGGAGATGAATGGTATCCATGGATTGTTTTTGTGTTAGATTAGGGGATAGGATTAGAGTGGATTTGGCCATGTTTTTAGGATCTGATTGAATCTGTTAAAAATGGACTTCTTATTTGATGTCCAATGGTTTGGGAGTGGACAGTGTTAATCAAAAGTGACTTGATAATTATTTGATTGAAATTGAACAATTTTCAATCAATTTGTTAGTCTCTTCCATGGAACTCTTGATGAAGGGTGCTTTAGGAAAATCAATTTACCCACGATTACATCATTAGCAAAACCTATATTAGAGGGGTTCAATTATAAGATTTTTGATATTTGTGAAATCAATTAAATCCTTATCCAATGCAAAGGTTTGATCTTCCTAGGATTACACATCAGGTATTGTTTACCCAATCATGCATCCTCTTATTCAGCAATTAAATGCGGCTAAGATGTTACTTAGTTGGAAGTAATCATGTTAGCGTATGATTAGTTTGTTAAATATCCTGTTATTAGTGAGAAAGGGTAATAGCTTGAGTCTATGTCATGGACTTATGGGTAGAGGTTCTCCGAATTAAGTTTTTGGCACTTTTACGTAACAACAGTTGTTGAGGATGCAATGACGTCACTATATGTTGATTACACTTTAAGTGGGTGGCTTGGCACATAAGATTCAATATCACTATGTGCATCATGGCTCAAAGTCGCTGTATCGGCCACTGACTCTAAGGGTACTATAACACATAGGTCGCAACGTTGTGGCACGGTATCATCCGATATGCACAAAATGCTAGATGAAATGCCTAAAAGATTCATAAAAAAATATCAAAAATATAAATAACAAAATCCATTAGTCATATGTTCAAAAGTATGTATCGCGGTTAGTGTTTTGGGGAAAAAGAGTGAGATGCTCTTGTGTTCTTCAACAACCGAGTTAAAGTAAAGAGTACCTTCCAAAGTGCTATTTTGTCCTTTGTTGGGAGCCACTGGGAAGATTTTGTTGATTATAATTCCGTAGAAGAAGAAAATGTGCACTCTTCGGTGCTATATGTTTGAAGAGGCAGTGGAAACTGTGAGCCGTTCTTTTAATCGTTTCAGAGGGGCAGGGAGGGTGGTCTTTATGGTCATAGCAGATTGTAGTGACAGCCTGACAGGTCTTACTAGATTAGTAGAATACTCAATTGGCAGTTGCTGAGAAGGAACAATTCAGAGGATAATGAAGGTATAATGTGCTGCCCAGCTTTGGCTTATGCATTGTATTGGGATATGNGTGGGTGGCTTGGCACATAAGATTCAATATCACTATGTGCATCATGGCTCACAGTCGCTGTATCGGCCACTGACTCTAAGGGTACTATAACACATAGGTCGCAGCGTTGTGGCACGGTATCATCCGATATGCACAAAATGCTAGATGAAATGCCTAAAAGATTCATAAAAAAATATCAAAAATATAAATAACAAAATCCATTAGTCATATGTTCAAAAGTATGTATCGCGGTTAGTGTTTTGGGGAAAAAGAGTGAGATGCTCTTGTGTTCTTCAACGACCGAGTTAAAGTAAAGAGTACCTTCCAAAGTGCTATTTTGTCCTTTGTTGGGAGCCACTGGGAAGATTTTGTTGATTATAATTCCGTAGAAGAAGAAAATGTGCACTCTTCGGTGCTATATGTTTGAAGAGGCAGTGGAAACTGTGAGCCGTTCTTTTAATCGTTTCAGAGGGGCAGGGAGGGTGGTCTTTATGGTCATAGCAGATTGTAGTGACAGCCTGACAGGTCTTACTAGATTAGTAGAATACTCAATTGGCAGTTGCTGAGAAGGAACAATTCAGAGGATAATGAAGGTATAATGTGCTGCCCAGCTTTGGCTTATGCATTGTATTGGGATATGGAAAAACTGGAGGTATCAGTAAGGTTTTTACTATGTCCTGTTATTTTTGTTTTGCCTTTTGCTTAATGTTCTTTTTTATTGTTCTCATTGTGGAATTTTTTTAACAGCTGTTTTTATTTCTGGGTTGTTTGTTTGTTTTTTTTTTTTGGGGGGGGGGCAACCAAATACAATACAGCTGGATGAAACATTTTATAAGTCACAGAGCCACTTGTCCATTATTATTTTGTTTGATGACTTGGTTTTCTAGCATTTGTGGAGAATGTGTTCTGCTTTTTTGTAGTTGACGGAGAGGTCTTGCTTTGGGATTAATTGCGATTACATGGATATGTTCTCTTTTGATTCTTAATTACTGAAATAAAAAGAAAGTTTTACCACCTACTATCGTATTAAACAAGTAATTGATCAAAATGGTGTATGTTGCGAGTCATTTTTCAGTTTTTAGTGTCCTGGTGCAGATAGTATTCATAATGCAGATGTTACGGCATGCTTCTAATGGAAAGAATATATCTTGTGTTTCCATTTGTGAGCTGTAATTGAAGCTGGGGTGTCTATAAGCTCTTTTTAAGTTGAAATTTTATGTGTTCTGTTATGGTTGGTTTTTATCGATAATTTTCTTCACAAAATCGTTATGTTCACCTCTAAGAAGCACGGACATGGATACGGGACATGGATACGACACGACACGGACACGCCGACACAAAATTTTTCAAAAAAGTAGGACACGGACACGTTAGCGATACGTTAAATAATATGTATTATATATATATTTATATAAAATCATGNCGGATACGGGACATGAATACGACACGACATGGACACGCCGACACAAAATTTTTCAAAAAAGTAGGACACGGACACGTTAGCGATACGTTAAATAATATGTATTATATATATATTTATATAAAATCATGTGATAAAATAAAAATATTATCATAATAATCTTTTAATTCATTATTTTCCTAATTTTAAAAATTTACACTATGATATCATTGCATGAAAAGTATAATATAAGATATATTGATACACATACAATATTAACATCCATGATTCAATAATCAATGACTTCTACAACTTTTACTTTAAAAATATTCCATTTTGTAATGCTAATTTTCATCAAATTCCAAGAGCTCCAATTTTGTAATCCTATTTTTTCTCACATTACTTTCATATTAAAAGACTATTCCATTTGTATATAAGTTTGTATTCATATCCAAAATTATATTATATTCATGTCCTCTATGCAATGTAATTATTATAACTTCTTTTATATTATGATTGTGACTCATATCCCTTTAAAATTATAAAAATAACTCCTAATTATAAAATTATTTGAAAAGTTCTCAAAAAAATTGAAAATAAATCTCAAAACGTGCCCCCCAGCCTGTCACAACGTGTTGGCCACGTGTCTAATACTTGTCCTAAAAAAAATTTAATAATAAAAAAATCGAACACTCATTTTAACGTGTCCGACACGTGTCCATGTCCCAGATGTGTCCGACACCGACACTTTGCCCAAAATGAAGTGTCCGTGCTTCCTAGGTTCACCTGATACCGCACAGAAACTTGGTTTTAAGCTGACTTTATAGTTAGTAATTCATAATGCAAGTTCTCCTTGATTTGCCTCCAAAAATTCTCAATGCACAAAGACAGGACGATCAGTTAAGTTAAGAAAAGATCGTATGATCTTTACAAGGAATCGTTTTCTTCTCCGCTTGATTTGTCTCGTTAGATGAATACATTATGTAATTTGGCTCATAGCATGGGGAAAATACTTTGAATCTCTTATGCCATCAATGTTGAGGCAGTTTTCAATTATTTTTTCTCCATAACATTGCTAATTGTGCAATTTTAGGAACTCAACCGAGATGAACCAGCTGGTTTGGGTGGGCCTAACTGTGAGCGCTATGTTCTTGACTCAAGAGGTGCTCTTGTGGAACGACGAGCTGTGGTGGGTCGGGAAAGACTCATTCTTGGCCACTGCCTTGTTCTCTCTGTTTTGGTTGTGAGAATAAGTAAGCTNCAAATGGCTCAGAAGGCATTTTGGAAGGTACTTCAATTTTTCTTTCTTTATTCCTTTTTCCCCTTTGGGTTGGGGGGCAGGCCTAAGATATGGATATGACCCATGTCTGAATGGGGCACAGAACCTGGCACCTGCGCTTTTGTTGGTTAGTTCCGGAACAAGCTAGCAGCTGTTTTGAGTCTTTGACTCAGTTTAGTGGATGTGTTTGTGCGAATGCATGTTTATGTTGGGTATTCCTAAACCTTTTCTAAATCATGGATGCACAAAATTGCCACAAACAAATGTTTCAGCTGGGCTATGGGAGTGTTGATCATTTGAGTTGCACTTCTTGTGCTGTTCTCTTGGCGAGCTAGCCTACCTGTGCTGGTTTAAGTGGATAGTCAAACCAAGCACAGTAATTCTAATCATTGGTAAGTTAAGGAAATGGAGATATTTTTTGGCCTCAATTTGCTAATTATTAGCATGAGATTGAATCAGTGTCAGGTATTTTGGTCCTTCACATATGGAAGATGGGGCTTAGGTTTGAGTGAGCTACTTAGTTATCTTAAGATTGAATCAATGTACTGGTATTTTGATGCTCGAAATATAGAACAATGAGCATCCATGTTCATCCATTCCGCTGAAAATTAAAACAGGTTTGAATTGTTTGATTTTCTATGGAGAATTATGGAATTATGTCGCTTGCTTTTGTCCCTAGGTATTTATGATTCATGAAACTCTTGTTTAGTGACTTCGGATACCTCTANGTGGGAAAGGCTGCCACCTTTTTTTGTGGCACATTGTTGCCATTGGACTGCCAAAGAAAGAGAAAAGTTTACTTGTTGAATAAGCAGTCAGAAGCTTTTTGATCTACATTGAAAGAACTAAATATTTAAACTCTCATTACTTTGTTCTTTGCAGGTCCAAAAGATGTAAGAGATGTGTTTTCACTTCTAAAAGATAGTGCAGCTGAACTTAGTGGTAGCTCTGACCCCTTAAAGCATCAGGTCCTACTTTTTTTTAATATGCTACATCCTATGGTGTCCTTTTGTTCTTTGGGTTTTGGGCTTGAAAATTACATGGTTATATAAATACAACATACTTATTAATATAGCTTCCTCCTGTGGGTTTTGTGCTATATTGTCAACCATTTGTCCTAACCTTTGATATTTTTTCTCCTTTTTTTGGGTCACATTTTGTAGGTCCCAAAGCTTCGGTTTACATCTTCTGTCACAAAGAAATAAAAGAAGAATTGCATATCTTTTGCCACCCTTATTATGTATCTCTATTACTGTTGTTCAATATCATATTGCATAATTTATTCACACTTGCACAATGGTGTAGAAGTTTGGTTTCTTGTAGAGTATCTCAATTTAAATTGTAGGACCCATGAAACCATATTTCACCTTGATTCAGCAGAAATTCCTAGCATGCAGTGAAAAAACATGTTTGGTGAGGATGTAAAATACTGATTGATAAAATGGGAATGCATTAGAATGAGCTGTAGCATGCAGGAATTGAGGGTTTCCAAGTTTTGTGTGTGCAAACTAATGCATAGAACTGTTTTTTTCTTACAGACTGCCCCTNTCCAGTTTAGTGACTTCTGATTCATCATACTCTCATTTTGCAATTTTTTTTACTTTGTTTTTTATAATTGTAAGAAAGTCACCATATTATTATATTGTAAAGAAGAGATAAGGCGTGAGCCCAAGCTGNTAGTTTAGTGACTTCTGATTCATCATACTCTCATTTTGCAATTTTTTTTACTTTGTTTTTTATAATTGCAAGAAAGTCACCATATTATTATATTGTAAAGAAGAGATAAGGCGTGAGCCCAAGCTGTATCTATTGTCTTGTGATACAATCCCAAGNTCTAGTCTTCTTTCCTCCCCACCGCCCACCAACCCTCAAAAAACCCATAACAAGAAAAGGTATATGATGATCCTTTCATTTCTCTGCAGATTACGTATAGCCTTCTTTTTTCTCTTGTAATAGCTTTGGTATCAGATGCATTGAGTGCAGCACAGGATAAAGAGTCTGTCTTGTCTCATGAGGCCCCTTTTAGGCACGAGTTTCAGGAAACAGTAAGTTGAAGAATAATACTGTGTTTTTCTTATTTCATAGTCTTTTAATCATTGTTTGAAAGTCATTGGTGAATCCTATTTCTGTAGGTGATAGCTGCTGGAAATGATCCAATGGTTGAAGGCTTTGTTGATTGTGTAAGGCTTGCATGGGCTGTACATTTGATGTTAGTACAAGATGGAATTGATGAAGGGGATGCTGCATCTGGTGCTTCATATATGCGAAATGGTTGCTCATGCTTGGAATTAATTTTCTCCAATAATGTTTTCCAGTTTTCTTTGGACAACATTCTTCGTACGGCAGCCTATCAGGTTTGTTTTTGATGATTTGATAGACTATTCATAAATTTTTTCCTTGCTACAGTCACCTTTTAATGAAATAACTCGAGTAACTTGTTGTTCTATCAATGTCATTATTGCTGGTCTTTCCACATTTCATTTCAATATGGTGACTTCAGGGTAATATTTGCCAACTCCTGTCCTCTTGTTAACTTCTGAACTGGACAGCTACACCCTTTTCACTTATTGCCAATTATATGTGCTCTAATGTGGTCTTGTGTCAATGAGAGAAGATTATACATTTTAGCTTTTCACATTTATGGTAAGTTGGTAACTTGTCTGTTTTTATAAGTTAGGAGCCAATATGGGCTGCATGGAGGATGGGAGGGCCTGTAAGCTCTAGATGCAGAGCTTCGATTATGTGAAGCCACTCCATGGTTAAGTTTATTAGCATATTTTTTTCTGTTTACATGGAATAATATGAATTCAAATGGCTCAGAAGGCATTTTGGAAGGTACTTCAATTTTTCTTTCTTTATTCCTTTTTCCCCTTTGGGTTGGGGGGCAGGCCTAAGATATGGATATGACCCATGTCTGAATGGGGCACAGAACCTGGCACCTGCGCTTTTGTTGGTTAGTTCCGGAACAAGCTAGCAGCTGTTTTGAGTCTTTGACTCAGTTTAGTGGATGTGTTTGTGCGAATGCATGTTTATGTTGGGTATTCCTAAACCTTTTCTAAATCATGGATGCACAAGATTGCCACAAACAAATGTTTCAGCTGGGCTATGGGAGTGTTGATCATTTGAGTTGCACTTCTTGTGCTGTTCTCTTGGCGAGCTAGCCTACCTGTGCTGGTTTAAGTGGATAGTCAAACCAAGCACAGTAATTCTAATCATTGGTAAGTTAAGGAAATGGAGATATTTTTTGGCCTCAATTTGCTAATTATTAGCATGAGATTGAATCAGTGTCAGGTATTTTGGTCCTTCACATATGGAAGATGGGGCTTAGGTTTGAGTGAGCTACTTAGTTATCTTAAGATTGAATCAATGTACTGGTATTTTGATGCTCGAAATATAGAACAATGAGCATCCATGTTCATCCATTCCGCTGAAAATTAAAACAGGTTTGAATTGTTTGATTTTCTATGGAGAATTATGGAATTATGTCGCTTGCTTTTGTCCCTAGGTATTTATGATTCATGAAACTCTTGTTTAGTGACTTCGGATACCTCTAGTTTAGTGACTTCTGATTCATCATACTCTCATTTTGCAATTTTTTTTACTTTGTTTTTTATAATTGCAAGAAAGTCACCATATTATTATATTGTAAAGAAGAGATAAGGCGTGAGCCCAAGCTGTATCTATTGTCTTGTGATACAATCCCAAGTGCCATTGTGCTGTAACTTAGCAACTGTGTGTGTGTGTGTGTGTGTTATTATTATTATTATTTTTTGATAAGAAACATTGATTTCATTAAAAAAACAAAAATTACAATGGACAAATCATAGTTGGACAAGACATCGCGCGCGCGTGTGTTATTGTTTATTCATAAATTGATCTTTTCAGTGTGCTGATTNTATTATTATTATTATTTTTTGATAAGAAACATTGATTTCATTAAAAAAACTAAAAATTACAATGGACAAATCATAGTTGGACAAGACATCGCGCGCGCGTGTGTTATTGTTTATTCATAAATTGATCTTTTCAGTGTGCTGATTTTATATTTTTCTTAGGAACTTGGCTGATGTCTCTAATCTTTCCTTGATGATTTCTCACTGATCGCTGTGAATGCAATGATAATACCCCGAACACTGACATCAAACGTATGAATGACCTAGAGGGGAGTAAATAGAACTTAGCACTCAATGCGGTGTTAATTGCTCAATCAAAATCTAATTCACTTTAATACCCAATCAATTGAGGAATTCAAACCAAATTCCCAATTTTNATGCAATGATAATACCCCGAACACTGACATCAAACGTATGAATGACCTAGAGGGGTGTAAATAGAACTTAGCACTCAATGCGGTGTTAATTGCTCAATCAAAATCTAATTCACTTTAATACCCAATCAATTGAGGAATTCAAACCAAATTCCCAATTTTAAGCCAAGACCCATAAGAAGAATTCATTCAACAATTCCACATGTGCATGAGCATGATAAAATTGCAAGTTTGTAAAGATATGACTAGAATTGAAGGAAGCACAACACAGACACTTTTATGTGGAAACCTTTCTGGGAAAAACCACATGACTTTAGTCCACTTAAATGAATCCACTAGTTTAGAAGTAAAGTTATAAGGATTAAAATCTTATACCTCAACTAATATTATGGTTAAATGCTTTCTCGACTTGAACCTTCACTTTGGTGTCCACCATGATCTTGAACACTAGCGACTAGTTTCATGAACTCAATCAACAATCCACCTTTGGAATCCTCCTCCTATTTTTGGAATCCACTGTAGATCTTCAAACTCTAAAGATTTAACAGGTGTTCTACAATATCTCAACCTATCTCGTGAATGGTGTAGTGAGAAATCAAGGATTGATCCAATAGAGAATGGTTTTTTTGGATTATAGGAGACTAAGGTTTATCTTTTAAGCCTTTTCTATCTTTCCTTCGCTCTCTAGAGTCCCTCCTATTCCCTTGGATGTGAAAATACTGTCACACATATGTAGGGTCCCAAAATAGAGTTTGAGTGGGGCTCAAGAAAACTATAATCTGCGATAGACCACTCGAGTCGTGAGTTGGTGGTCATCGGGCGGTGGCTATTGGAATAAACAATCCAGGCCTTAAGTTGGAAGATCGCTCGAGTGACCTAGGGACTGCTCGAACCATTTGGACCATGGTCTTTACTGGAAAACTCCCCGTTTGCTCCCTTTATGGATAATGACTGCACAAGTGCAAGGCTAGTGACCATCGAGAGGTTCTTATTGGTTTTTAAGCCTAAAACCAAGTTAAAGCTAGGCCTTTTGAGTACTAAAAAATGTTTCTTACCAAGGCCCATACCATAACTTTTGTAGTGTTTTAAAGTCATCTTTTGAGTTTCAAAATATTTTTCAATCAAGCTAGAAATCTTCAAATGTAGCACATAGCTCGAGCTTCTTCGTTACATCTTGCTTCAACTTTCATTAGCGTCATGACCGTGGATTTAGTTGAGATACAATTACATGTGACTTCACAGTAATTTGCCAATCACATCAATTTCTTAACAACTCACTTTAGTAGGTAATAAGTTACTTATGTCTTAGTTGAGAAATGTTTCCATTTGCATATATCTTTTGGAGAGACTTTAACTTCATTTATTTTTCTATTTTTACAGAATGAAGATGAGGATATTATCTATATGTACAATGCTTATCTCCACAAGCTGATAACATGTTTTNCGTAATTTGCCAATCACATCAATTTCTTAACAACTCACTTTAGTAGGTAATAAGTTACTTATGTCTTAGTAGAGAAATGTTTCCATTTGCATATATCTTTTGGAGAGACTTTAACTTCATTTATTTTTCTATTTTTACAGAATGATGATGAGGATATTATCTATATGTACAATGCTTATCTCCACAAGCTGATAACATGTTTTCTATCTCATCCGGTAGTTAGAGACAAGGTTAGTTAAAATTTCTTTATTATATATGCTCGTAGAATTAAATTTCTTCATTATATGTGCTTGTAGAATGTAACAACATCCTTTAAATACATAGGTTGGAGTAGAAGGTGAAAATCTCTGGTAATGATGAAGTGTTCATTCTAAACGGTCAAACACTCCTGTCAATTTTTGCATGTGTTATGGTAAAACATTTCTTATTCATCCCATTTCTCTTAGGCTATGGAAACGGATCCTGATTAATAAACTAATTTCTGTGTGATTTTTGCTTTACTGTGCTTTAAAAGTTATATCTATAGTGCCCAGTTTTTAATTTAAGGCTTCAAAATTTTCTATCTAGGTGATAGCACTCACACATAAAATAATCTATTCTCATGTAATGCAAGTGGAGTACTTGGGTTTCTACACATTAAGCTATCGAGACTTAGGTGAATGCTTTTGTTGGACACTTGTCAAAAAAGTGCATGCTTTCTTGAGGAAGGAAATGAAGAGATGGAAATGGGTTCTCTTTGGGAGTTTAGGGAGAAGCAAGAAATTGTCTGAAGAGTTAAATGTTATTAGCNCTTGGGTTTCTACACATTAAGCTATCGAGACTTAGGTGAATGCTTTTGTTGGACACTTATCAAAAAAGTGCATGCTTTCTTGAGGAAGGAAATGAAGAGATGGAAATGGGTTCTCTTTGGGAGTTTAGGGAGAAGCAAGAAATTGTCTGAAGAGTTAAATGTTATTAGCCTATACCGATCCTGCTTATGCGGGGTTTTGGGAGAGGCAGGGTAGGTTGGATACAAACTAATCTTTTGTATTATTTCTGCACAAAGTGGATTGTTCTTAGGCTATGTAGCCAAGGACATTTGNTTGCGGGGTTTTGGGAGAGGCAGGGTAGGTTGGATACAAACTAATCTCTTGTATTATTTCTGCACAAAGTGGATTGTTCTTAGGCTATGTAGCCAAGGACATTTGGTGGTTGAGGCATTCTTGTGTCCAAATCTGACTGTAAGAAACTATTCAGACCTGATCCATCATATGTAACTTAGTTGGAACTCCAAAATTAAAAACCCCACATTGAAGCCTACCCCCTACCCATTNTAAAAGACTTTTGGATTTTTTTGGGGGCTTCTGAAACTATTCAGACCTGATCCATAATATGTAACTTAGTTGGAACTCCAAAATTAAAAACCCCACATTGAAGCCTACCCCCTACCCATTACCCAAGAGCAAAATTTTTAAATTACTTTTGACACCTAAACGTTAATAAACATAAATAAAGAAACATTAGAGGCTTCATATAATGAGGCTCGAGTTGACCTTAGATGTAATTGAATGAGATCTGCCACAAGCTTCATTTGAGATTTCCAATTTTCTTTTCTCTTTTAGCCTGCTACATTTTGTAGGGGTTTATGAATTGAGGTAAAATTTTAACAGAACTAAGTGCTATGAATTACTGTCATCTCCGTGCACGCTTTGGTATCCCTGTTTGGAAGGAACAGAACAGGTGCTTATAAAGTTGGCAACTTTCTGTTTGAGTTATTTGGTTATCATGTTGGGTTGTTTGGTGGTTGGTTTGTTTGGTATAGCTTTGTAAATGGATTGTATGGTTTCTGCTTTTATTAACAAAAATTGTAATTAACTTTTTCTTTTCAATATACACCTATAAGTATATATATCTATTTCTCCTTTCTGCATGCTTTTTACAACTCAATGTTGCAGGTAAAAGAAACAAAGGAGAAGGCTATGAGTGCCCTTAGTCCATACCACATGGCCAGATCACATGATTATATGCTGGACAATGGTGTACATTCTCAGCATGCTGCTGAAGCCACTCCTCAACCATTTGTCTCTCTCTTGGAGTTTGTGAGTGAAATTTATCAGGTTGGTATGTTTGTTAGGTGGAATGTTTTATGTTAACTCATGCCATCAATAAATGGCTTTAACAAGTAAGATTCTGAGGAGGATGCTGTAAGCTGAGTAATATTTGTGTGGGTCTGAAACTTCATTTGGATGTTTTCAGCAAATATACATTTTGATCACTGGTAAAATGTGACAGAGATAGTGATATAAGAATTATGATCCCTGGAATTTCTTAATGTGTGGGTTGTAAAGAAAAAGTTGAAGGATGAATGATATAATTGCTTACTGATTAACACCCACAATACAGAGGTAAACTAATGTGTAATGCATACTGTCATTTTATAGAACTTTTTCGAAGCTGTGGTTGCCAGTCATTACAGGACTATAATGTCATTATCCTGTTGAAATTGTGGGGTCAGGTGTGAGGTAAACTGATATGGGCATTTAAACAGTTGAGATATCCGAGACATTTGATTCCATGATAAATTATTGGTACATCATATCTTATATAATCTTTTCTCTATGAGGAAAACTTGAATGAGAGTTATGATAAATTAGGTCAGCATAATGGATGGTTGCAACTTTTCTTCCGTGCAAAAAGTAGATTAGTAGAATGTAGCAGTGCCTTAAAGTGATATGATTTAGGATTCATTGGGAACTGGTTTGTTACTGCAATCTCTTCGTCTGTTGTCAGAAGTGCAGTCTAAATAAATGATAAAGTACTGAACTTCTGAAACAGGTTTGCCTGGGCTCTCCAATTGTTCAAGTTATTAGATGAGACACTAATGAATTTTCAGGTTGATGACTAATTTTGGAATCAGTAATGCTGTATCTTTGAATGATGAGGTTCAGGGGGAAAAGACAAAAAGTTAGTTGTGATATCCGAAAGTGTTCCTTCTTGTCCCCCCAATCCCCACCCCACAAAAAAAAAAAAAAAAAAAAGAGAGGCCGACTACACAGTGATTTATGATATAGATTATTCACTTTAGCAATATCATAAAAGTGGTATGGACTTATCTTCAGCTGTATGATCGGTGGCTGATGTTCAGGAGATGTTTTGTGTGTGCTGGTCATTAAATCCCTCTTTATGTTTCTTTATTCTCACGCATATTTTTTTTCCGGTTCAGTTGTGGACTAAATGATTATATGACTGGGATTGTGCTATTAACATACTTGAATATGATTGGTTTATTGGGCATTACCATGACAACTTCTTGGACATCCTCCATACAGCATGAAATTCTATTTAAGGCTCTTCTTTCAAATGTTTTGTCTAACAAAATGAATATTATCTTCTTTTTTTGATAGAAATGAATACTATCTCCTAATCTCTTTTTTTCTTGCCCTTCCTATTTGTTTTCATACTTTCATTATATCCTTGTATTAGATTTCTGAGATGAGTAATGATGACCTTTCTTCCATCATTCGTAATTAGAAAGAACCTGATCTGCTGTCTGGCAACGATGTGTTATGGACATTTGTAAACTTTGCTGGAGAGGACCACACTAATTTTCAAACACTTGTGGCATTCTTGAAAATGCTGAGTACGTTGGTATGTCAGTATTTTTCATTCAGTGGCTTGGTATGTGAATTATTATTCATAGTTTTTATTTTTTGTGTTCCTTGATTTTTTGTTCCTTTCAGGCTTCTAGTCAAGAGGGTGCTTCAATAGTCTTTGAGCTTCTTCATGGGAAAACTTTCCGTTCTATTGGATGGAGCACTTTATTTGATTGTTTATCAATTTATGATGAGAAATTCAAACAGTCCCTTCAGACTGCTGGGGCCATATTACCAGAGATGCAGGAAGGGGATGCAAAAGCACTTGTTGCATATTTGAATGTCCTTCAGAAGGTGTAATTGTATTTTTTGTCGCTCCTGTTTGTTTAATCCACATCTCTTAGCTTTCGTTTTTATGAGATTGTTCAGTTATTAATGTGAAAAATATCTGCTGATAAATATGAAAACTTATGTAATTGAAGGAGTAAGAAATCTGGTGCGTTCTATGGAGTTGCGTAATTAGAATTTTTTACGGCAAAAGAGATTCAGGGCAAATCCTGTATGAGAGAGTTAATTCAGCTTGTGGATAGTCTCAATTGTGGTTTCTAGTTTTTGTATCTTGCAGTTTTTAGCTTTTGTATCTTGGTTGGATTCCTTTTCCACCATCGATGTACTAATATTTATTTTTAGTAAAACTTAGGCTTCCTAAAAAAAATGCAGTTTGGTGAATTATAGTACTGTAGCCTTTTGTTGCTTTGTATAGAGTGACCGAAATTAGCTTTGTAAAATTAACCAGATCTTCAGCACTTACATGTATGTAAAAGGTTTTTTATTAGTGTTTTTAGTCAATATGTTTCTTTTTGCTATCATGGATCAAATAATGTTTTGTCCTGTATCCTATCTACCATTGGGGTTTCCCACATTATCAGGTTTTACTACCTTTCTACTTTTAATAGATACATTGTCCAAGGGTATACCCTGAATTCACTCACATATGAGAACGTACATGTAGTTACACTTTATGTCTGTCTCTGATAATGGGTTGTAAATGCTACTTGCTTGTGTGTAGGTAGTTGAAAATGGGAATCCCATTGAAAGGAAGAACTGGTNCCACTCACATGTGAGAACGTACATGTAGTTACACTTTATGTCTGTCTCTGATAATGGGTTGTAAATGTTACTTGCTTGTGTGTAGGTAGTTGAAAATGGGAATCCCATTGAAAGGAAGAACTGGTTTCCTGACATTGAGTCCTTATTCAAGCTCCTTGGTTACGAAAATGTGCCTCCTTATCTGAAGGTTGCTGGCTCTGTTTTGTGCTGCTTTTCGATATGATTATCTTTATCTGAAATTTACTCCTCGTCTTCATGAAGGTCGTATGCTGCAATGAATTCTTCTACTGCTCATAGTTTTCTTCTTGTTTTGCATCAATTTTAGGGTGCTTTACGTAATGCCATAGCTACTTTCATTCAAGTTTCTCCAGTCCTAAAAGATACTATTTGGAGTTACCTAGAGCAATATGATCTGCCAGTGGTTGTGGGATCTCATATTGGGAGCAGCATACAACCAATGGCCACCCAGGTTGGTGTTATGAATGGCATCTAGTATAGTTTATCATGGATATCACTGTTCAGGAAACGTGAGATTGTTAAATTCAATTATATACTTTATGTTATTTGGTTATATTTTTTTGGACATTATACACCTCTGTTGCCTTGTGAATACTCTGCCACAACACTGGTCCTTGTTAGCAGCATAAGCTTTTAGAGTAGTTGGCGGTACATCAATGATAAAATCTTTATGGAAGATTGAATGATTCCACAAGCCGAGGGTTGGAACTCATCCAAAGAAAAGGAATCAGTAATGTAATTGTGGAGACTGACTACTTGGAAGCAGAAAGACTCCTCACACATAACATTGAGGATTCTCACCCCAGCAGAGCCTTAGTCGCAATCTGGAAGAGACTAATGGAAGAGACACATGGTCCTATCATCCATACACTTAGGGAAGGCAACCAGTGTGCGGATACATTGGCAAATCTTGAACTTGCCTCATGGCAGATTTGACTAGCATAACTTTTTCTAGGAATTCTCTGTAGTTTGTTTTTAACATTTCCAATGTACCGAAAAAAAAGAAAGAATAAAATCTATATTAGCCAAGCAGTAATATATTTAAACACGCCCTCTCACACGTGGGTTAGATTTATGAGCCAAGCACGTGGATGGCCTTTGATTAGTAGGGTGACAANCCCTCTCACGCGTGGGTTAGATTTATGAGCCAAGCACGTGGATGGCCTTTGATTAGTAGGGTGACAATGAGATTCGAATGCAAGGCAGCCTACTTTGATACCTTGTTGAACCACCAGCTTAGCTTTTAGAGAAGGTGTAACCATGTAAGTTAAGCATTTGTATACTTCCCAATTATTTTAGCACCCGGCTGAATCCATGCCTAGAGAAGTATCAGGGATTATAAAATTTTTGGAATTATACCTTTACTTATTTGCACAATGCACATATGAACATAACAACTTGTACTCTTGGAAAATGTTTATAAACCTTTCCCTTTAAACTTTCTTCTGTGAGAACCTTATTAAAAAAAATTTCAATAAAATTTCTTGCTGCATCTGTTACCAAATGAGAACCATTAACAAAACAGTAATTGATTACCTTTCTATGGTGTCTAATGGCATTGATTTCATCCTTTACATCAGAGTAGTCGGTGTTCCTTTTTGTTTCAAATTTGGAAGGTATTCAATGAGTTTGCTTTGAAGCTGTTAACTTTGACATGAGAATTTATCACTGAAATTTGAAACCTAAAATATGCAGTAACACATCACATTTTTAGATGCCAAACATCTAGGTTTTATGTCCCAATAAGTTACTAAATATACCAAGCATACATTCTTTTTTCCAGATATAAAATCCTAGACATTGCTATAGGGGAAGATTTCGGCATCATTGATTTGAGATGCTTAGTGTTGCTATTCTAAGTTTCTAACCATCAGGAGACATGCTTTTTAGTAATGTGAGAGGTTAATCCCTGGTTGTTTTACTTAAATTCAGTGACCAAACCGGCCCAAGCTGGGTTGTGTTATGCATGTGAACTGGTTTTTAGTGGAAAATTTTTCGTTTTTAGATGTTGCCATTTGATTGCAATGAAATGCTGTCCAAAAAGATTTTACTGTACTTGAGGTGCAATCTTAAACATTGTGTTATAACGTACATGTTGTCATGAAAGTTAAGTTAAGCATCCCCTGGAACTTCCGCTGCAGGCAGCCTTTATTTTGTTAGATATATATTGGAGTGTCCTTTCTTGATTTAGACAGTTATAACCAGAGAAATTTAAATCTCTATTTGCAAGAGAGATTAAATATCCTTCTCTCCATTGAACTATGTCACGACCCATAGTTCTGTTGGGTGTACTCCCTAATATTTGTGACAATGCTATGGATCCTTTCAACTTTCAAGTTTCCCTTATTCTGTATTCTTGTCTTGTAAAACTTCTTTTGGCTGTTATCTATTGTCTCTGTTTTGGTTTTGTTGTAAATATATCTTTTGAACTTGCTGATTTTACTTTCGTTAGTGGGAAAAGTGTTTGAACATATACAAGCCGAATATATAAGAGTATGACTTATTTGTGCTTTCAAAATGTGTGTGGTTATACGTGCTTTATTGTGCAGGTTTATGACATGCGATTTGAATTGAACGAGCTAGAAGCAAGAAGAGAACAATATCCTTCAACAATATCATTCCTAAACTTATTAAATGCTCTTATTTCTGAGGAAAGAGATGTTAGTGACAGAGGGCATAGGTACTAGGCTTTAATCTGATATCTTTGGCGCAGTTTCTTTTCATCTTTTCCTAATGTTGGGTGACTTATTTTGCAGATTCATTGGCATCTTTAGGTTCGTATATGATCATGTATTCGGGCCATTTCCACAGAGGGCTTACGCTGATCCTTGTGAAAAGTGGCAATTGGTTGTTGCTTGTCTTCAGCATTTTCGCATGTGAGTCCTGCAGTTTTGGTCTGAGGGCTTGCTGTGAGCTTTTGGCTTTGATTTGCCCTTATTGAAATAGAGAGATGTTTATATTGTTGATTCTGATTTACCTGAAATATGTCTCTTCTAGTGGTGTTTATTGTCCTTTCTGCCCCTTCATTCCTGTGGAGTTATTTCTCTGGCCTCATTATTGCTGTTCTATTTCTTTGGACAAAAGAGCTTCATTTGGGATTGAATAAAGAGGTTGTAAAGTTTTCTTTTTGTCTGATATGATGTGCAGGATATTGACCATGTATGACGTTAAGGATGAAGATATTGACATTGTCGTTGATGAACCTCCACTGTCTGCGGGGGCACAATTGGCTCCACTCCAGATGCAGCTTCCTGTCATAGAATTGCTGAAAGTATTCACTTCCTTTTCTTCTTCTTAGTATTTCTTCTTGTTGGTGCTGCTGATGTGATTCCATTCTAATTATCATTTGTTACTTTTTGGTTTTTCTTTTCTTTCTTCTAGTTGTTTAATTTAATGTATTTATTGTAGTTGTTTATATAGGTGTCAGCATAGATTTGCTTTTCTACCAAGTATATGCTCAAATTTTATGTTGCTATGTAATTAGACTTCTGTTCTTTGGCTTATCAAGTTTCTTTCTTAACTTATTATCTTTCGGGGAGGGCTGCATGATATGTCAATTGCACTATGTTGATGCACTATGATAGTTTAAGAGTCTTGGGGATGCTTTTCAGGTTACAACATTTGCTGTGGTCATCCTTGTTAGCAACTTTGTGTGATCTTACATCTTAGAGTGCTGTNGCTGCATGATATGTCAATTGCACTATGTTGATGCACTATGATAGTTTAAGAGTCTTGGGGATGCTTTTCAGGTTACAACTTTTGCTGTGGTCATCCTTGTTAGCAACTTTGTGTGATCTTACATCTTAGAGTGCTGTGGGATTTGTACATATTCTCTTTGGTGTTTGTTTGTTGGATAATTAGAAGTTCAACACGATTCAGAATAGAAGCAACATCACCTTATGGTTCAAGAATAAGAATAGATTGTTGAGTCCAGGCATTCTGTTTTGGTTGAGGGTAAGCTGTGTTGTTGCCTGTTGGACTAGGCCTGAATGGCATTTTTGGATGCTTGCTTCAGTTGTTTGGTTGATCTGAGCTTGTTGATAAGCGTTAGCTTTTGCATTAGACTGCTTTGAATTTCTGTGGAATTTGACACTATTATTCTGGCTTGGTGTTTTAAGGTACATTAGGGAGATGGAAAACATCTTTTGCTTTGATCAGTAGTTTGTGGTGCATCTACTGTCACTGAGGCTGTGTTACACCAGCCTCTGCTATTACAGTGTCTCGTTTTCTTCAGCTCAATGTCTCCTGTGCTTGCCTTTTGAGATTGTGAGCTTAGCAGACTTGGTTTGTCTGGGATTCTGAGAAAGTCATAATATTCTACATCTTATCATTACCTTCCCGCGCAGTTTGTTCAAAGAATAATTTAGTTATGAGGCTCCTTTTTGTCTGATTGGTAGTGGTCACCTGATTTGATGAGCATCATGATCTATTTATATTTTTACTCTTAAAAAGGACCGGTCATTAAATACTCTTGTATGGCAAATGGCTCTAGAAAGTTAACCGGTGTGGTTCTCCTAGCTCGGATGCCCAGTGAAGTCCTCTACCTGGGCTTGTTCTCTTTCCTAAAAATAGAGAAGAAAGAGGTGAAATATTAGCAATCTCTTCATTTGTAGTTCTATCTCTTATGCTTTATAGCAAAGACTTTTGGCTTTGGCTGGAATTAGTTATGGGAGATTTATTTGTTATTTTAATCTTTTGGTATAATTTTTATCAAGGAAATTAAGGCTATAGCCATTTAGCATTGTGTAAATTTTGAGGACAAGCGTTATTCAAAAGCGAACTATACGGTAGATTGATTTTCATTTATAGTCTGTGTTACGAAAAATTTGAACGGGGGTCTTTGAATGCCTCAATGAGATTCACTCTTGGTGACTTCTTCTTTGTCTTAGATACAATGATATTTGCTTTTACTTGGAAGTTCAGCCTTAGTGGAGGAATATACTTAAGTTTGATGATGACTGTGTTTTGGTTGTTGGGAGACATTCTAGTGATTTTGAAGGAAATACATTTTTTTTTTTGTTTTCCAAGCTAGTCTAGACATTTCATTCCATTGAAATGGAGATTTGCATCTTGCAATTTTGATCTCTGATTGAATCGAAACCACTTTGTGCCTTGCATTCCTTTGAGTTCTAACCATTTGCAATTTTGATCAAGGAATGACATTGATTGGATAACACAAGTTCCTTTTTTTCCTGGATATTTGAGGTTGTATAATGTCTATATATTTTGTGAAATTCCTTCATGTTTGCATTGCTAAGTGGTCTGGTACAGTTTGCCTGTAAATGTAAAAAGAAGCAATTTCAATTATTGAAAATTAGGAGCATCTGACCACTTCTTTAGCTTTTTGAGTAGATTCTTATAAACAGAAAGTGTTTCTTTAAATGATGTTGAATCTATATCTATGTATATTTTCCTTTTCAGTTAGTTATAGTTGCGTCTCTAGTTTGTTTTGGTGTCAAGTTAATTAGATATGTGATTCTTGATGATTTAGCCGGGTGGATTGCTTCTTCTATTTGCTGTGTTTTTGTTGAGATTTTGAGCCTTTTGCCTGTTAATGACATCATCTGATATTTTTACAGGATTTTATGAGTGGGAAAACTGTGTTCCGAAACATAATGGGTATTCTTTTATCAGGAGTCAATTCCATCATTAACCAACGCACCACTCAAATTTATGGGCAACTTCTAGAAGATGCTGTGCTCCTCTCTTTGGAAATCATATTACTTGTTTTGGAGAAGGATGCAGTTGTTTCTGATTTCTGGCGCCCTCTATACCTGGTGTTTATTTCAAATATTCAGCATAATCCTTTTACCTTCTCTTGGGGTGTCGTTTTTTGTTATGTTTAGTAGACTCTTTGTACTCCATGCTTTCCAAGATGTCTAGTTTTACATCGAGAGTTCTGAGAATCTACACACTTTTTTTTTGGCTGGGAATTTCACTTGTGGGCTTTGATGTTGAACTGCTCCTCTTTAATTGATGGCATTTGTCTGTAACCTATCTCAGATGTAGTTAATTTGTGGAATTTGGAGAAAGCTTAGATTTTGTATTGATAATTAGTNGGATGTCTAGTTTTACATCGAGAGTTCTGAGAATCTACACACTTTTTTTTTTGGCTGGGAATTTCACTTGTGGGCTTTGATGTTGAACTGCTCCTCTTTAATTGATGGCATTTGTCTGTAATCTATCTCAGATGTAGTTAATTTGTGGAATTTGGAGAAAGCTTAGATTTTGTATTGATAATTAGTTGTTTCGACATGACACCTGGCATGCACAGGTTTTGCTAGGAATGGTTACACCTATTGAACTTGATTATTGCTCACGGTTTAGATTAGATCAATGAAGCAGGTTGGATCATTATGGCATGAACATTATTGGTTTTCCAACACATGCATAATTTAATGTATCAAGAAGCCATCAACTATAAATGTTAGTCTAGCAATGGATGTCATCATTTATTTGACACTTTGTAAAAGAAAAATAAAAGGAGGTTGTTATTATATACTTAACATAGTTGATGTTTTTTGGTGCTATATGTCTTCATCATCTTGTCTGGAATTTCTTCAGACTCTGTTGACTGACATTATGTAATGAATTTTTTCTTTTTTGAATTTGATGGCGTTTAGAACTGTTTACAATTTGGCCTTACTTTTTAGATATATGTAGTTTTGCACTTAGTTGGCAGAATGAGTAATAATCTAGTATTTATTAAAGTTCAACTGTTAAAGTTGAATATATTGATTGTGTCCTTCGATTGAATAGATAACTTCAATCTTTATCTGGCTTTCTTCTTGACACCTGATGAGGACTTCTAATGACTTCCACTTGTTTCTCATTAACCATGCAGCCTTTGGATATCATACTCTCTCAGGATCATAATCAAATTGTTGCATTGTTGGAGTATGTTAGATATGATTTCCGGCAACAAATTCAACAATGCTCCATCAAAATTATGAGTATTCTAAGGCATTCCTTTCATTCACACACTGTTTCTTGCTTTTCGTTCTGATGTGATTTAGCTTATAATTCATTTCATGCTGAGTGTTGACGACGACAATGATTTTGTGCTGTTCTTGTATGACAGTTCTCGTATGGTTGGGCTTGTAGAGTTGCTTTTAAAATCAAATGCCGCAAGCTGTTTAATTGAGGATTATGCTGCCTGCCTAGAGTTACGGTCAGAAGAGTGTCAGATTATAGAGGACAGCAGCAATGATTCTGGTGTTTTAATAATGAAGGTCAGTCCTTGTTCCTGGCATTACTTGTTTATTGATTTATCTTTTTGTGGTTATTTTGCCCCCAACCAACTTATGATATGTTCACTCACTTCCATTTTACAATTTTTATACATTTCTGTCTTTACACAATTGCAGCTTCTCATTGATAATATTGGTCGACCAGCTCCAAATATCACACATTTGTTACTCAAATTTGATCTTGATACCCCTGTCGAGAGGACATTACTGCAGCCCAAATTTCATTACAGGTTTCCACCGGTCATAGAACTATTGAATGTTCTGATGTTTAGTGCTTGTATATATGGATCATGACTTATTCACTTATATGTTGTGCACAGTTGCTTGAAGGTCATTCTTGATATATTAGAAAAGCTTTTGAAGCCTGATGTCAATGCTGTGCTTCATGAATTTGGATTTCAGGTTAGATGGTCCTTGCTTAATATAGAATTTATGGTTTCTCATTACTTTTAGTGAACTATCAACTCATGTCTTTGTGCAGCTCCTTTATGAATTATGCTTGGATCCACTAACATGTGGTCCTACAATGGATATGTTGAGCAACAAAAAATATCAGTTTTTTGTCAAGGTACAACTTGTAATACAATATAACATTGTAATTATTCAGGGGCTATATTTCTGCTGATATCTGGTAGTTGGTTGTTTAACAAGTTGGTTGTTTATGTTAATATGGTCTTTTTATCATGGCAGCACCTTGAAACAATTGGTGTTGCTCCTCTTCCTAAGAGAATTAGCAATCAGACACTTCGCATAAGCTCCCTCCATCAGGTTTGTATCCGAGTCAAGCACTTTGGTGTTTTGTTGTATTGTACCATCCAACTGCTGAGGTGCATGCAGTCTGCTGTAGTAATATCGTCGTCGGTTGTAATATGTGCTGTTCACCTGAAAAAGTGTGCGCATGTATGCGAGTGTATGCAGTAATTGTATTATGCATGCATCTATGCTTCTGTTTTGTCAATGGGTTAATGTTGTTACAATACTTGCTGTTACGTGGCATAATATCAGTACAGTGGTCCATGTCTGCGGCCAGTTTTGTATGATGGGTTATGTTTGGCTTCCCACGGCTATTGCAAATAAATAAATACATGGTCAAGTGCTATCATTCCTTGTTTTCAATATTAATGAGTGCCTTTGTCATGCTTTGGCAGTTGGTTTGTTAGATTATTTCTTCCGGCCGATTGATATTGATTTGAGCACTTGATATCCTATAACACTTTTAGCCACAAGTTTATCATCTATTTTTCTTGGTTGTAATTTGCATGCGTGTATGTAGTTGAATGATGCAATAAGGTCGTGTTTCCTTTCTTTGATTGCATGCTGGCATTCGTAACTCTTAAAATGTTGAATGCCAATGTCTTCTCAAGGCTTGTTTGTTTGCCATGATTCATAATCCATTGAATTTGTAAGTGTTTAGGGGTAGTTTGCTTGTTGGGGGAAATTTACCTCGAAATCCCTCAAATTCTTTGTTCGATAGAATCTCCTTTATAGATTTGTTGCATCTATTTCATACACTTGAGCAACCCAGTTTGTTTGTCAATTGAAAGAAGAGGAGACATTCAAGAACGCTGGATAAGAGAATGGAAAAGAAGAGGAAGCTTGATAATTATTGTCTATTTGTTAGAGAGAGAGAGAGAGAGAGAGAGAGAGAGAGAGAGTTCCGCTGTAGCACTTGGCAATTAAGAGGAAAAAAAAAGAGTGAAGAGAGAATGAGAATCGAAAAAATATGTGGAAATTATTAGTCTATGAAGTATTGTTCTTCTGCTAAAATTAAGCCAATTTTATCCACTCTTGAGGTGATTTTGTGATAATTATGTGTGTAATTTTTCCTTTTCTATCTTTCTCCACTATTTGAACAAATCTCACTCCGATAAATGGGGACCTTATTAAAATTTCACTTCTATTTTTTCTCCTACCTCCCTAAGGGTCCGTTTGTTTAGAAAGATAATGCAAGAAAGAGAAAATTTTAAAATTTTACATGTGTTTGTTTAACATGAAATAGAAAATAATAGAAAAAATAATTTTCTTCCATACTTAGATTTTCTCACATCTAACTAATTTTTTTTTTCTTGAAAAAAACACAAGGAAAAGTAAGAAAGTTGTCTTCAATAACCTAACTTCTCATTTTACCCCTATTTTTCTTAAAATATTCATTAGTTATTAATTTTAAAAAACTTAGTATAAATTAGGCTAACCATATAATTTGGTCTAGAGATCAAGGTAGTCGATTCTTGTCTTTGAATTTGGTTATGAGCCAATTTTTTTAAAATTTGAATAATAAAAAATATTTTTTCCTTCTTTGGACCAAGTTAAAATAATTAAGGATAATTTAAACAATTAGAAAAAATTTCTTGTAACTTTCCTTTCTTTCAAACAATGAAATGAAATTGTTTTAAAATTTTCTTAGAAGTTTTTCATGCTAACCAAATGCATATATGAAAATATATTTTCTTTCACTTCACTTTCTATGAGTATCAGGTTACTTTGTTTTGCTCTTTTGTTCTTTAATATTTCAANCTCTTTCACTTTCTATGAGTATCAGGTTACTTTGTTTTGCTCTTTTGTTCTTTAATATTTCAATTTTCTAGTTGTGATTGTAGAAATATTATGCATCTTTTAGAAGAATGGAATGAACTTACATTGTGATTATACCATTTACCTAATATCTTGGTCGGACTTGGTGTATGTGTGCCCAAACATGCACACACAAACTGGGTCAGACTTCAGTACTTTGGAGTTGACCTCCTTAATTTGGATGACTTTACATTTCTTTGTTCAAAAATGGTTATAAAAACTCTTATCAGATCCTTTTCTGAAGATCCTTTTAACTATTCCGTTCTCTTGTCTGCTTCTCCATAATGCTGCTATTTGCTACAAATGTCTATATGTCTTCACTTTGCCTTTTCATCCCTTTTATTTTGTCTTTGGTAGAGGGGTGGGCTTGTTTTATGTGTGTGCTGGGAAAGAGAGAGGGGTTGGGGTTGGTGTAAAGTTGTATTAAAAGGCACCAAGGGGCTACAACACTGCACAGAAGCCAAATAATCTAAACTCTTCATAAATTTTGAAAAATGCATCCGGGGAGGGCTTCATCATCCTCCTCCTCAACCTACAAAACTGGGCTGCAAAAGAAGTCCTATTATGTTTCTAACAATTTGAACAAAAAATTAAAAGTTTGAATTGTGATTGATTCTGCATTTAGATACTAACTATATGTATTTTATGTTCCACCGGTCCACTAGACAATGGCCAAATCATTGATTCTAAACTTTGCATAAAAGTTTGAAAAATTCATTAAGGGAGGGTTTCATCTTCCTCATCAACCTACAAAATTGGGCTCTGAAAGAAGTTTTATTATGTTTTTAGCAAATAGTAAAAGACAAGTTTGAATTGTGATTAATTTTGCATTTGATTTGTATGCTGAATTACACTTCGTGGATCACCTATTAATGTATGTGATACTATTTTTCCAAAGTTTTATTCTTACGAGTTGCAACTCTCCTTGCCTTTCCCAGAGAGCATGGTTATTGAAGCTTTTAGCAATAGAATTGCACACTGGTGAAATGACAACTTCTACCCATCGAGAAACATGTCAAAGTATTCTGGCTCATGTTTTCGGGCAGAACATTGCTGAATGGGGCACTGACCATAATATATCTCACTCTATCCTTCAAAGTAGTCCTGCAAGTGGTGGAACTACAACAATCAGTAAGAGTAAGGTACTCATGGATAAAATTGATTGATTGTTTTGTAACATGTTTTGGGGCAGTGTTTGTTTAGTAAGTTATGCAATACATGTTTTTTGACGTGACAATAGCTGTTATCAGTGCACATACATTTTCCAAATAGACAATATTAATTTTGTGGTGCAACAGTTTTAGTTATGTTGCAAGGCCTCGGAATTCAAAAGTTTTTTCTAGGAAGTACTAAAATAAAATGATTTATGTTGGCAGAGGAATGTATGTTTTTTGTCCTATTGTATTGCATGTTAAAGTTGTTAAACAATCATTTACTCCAAAAGTTTAAGCTGAAGACCTCCTGCTCTGATACCATGTTAAATAATCATTTACTCCAAAAGTTTAAGATGTTGAAAAGGGTGTAACCTAAGTATTTATAATTTAACAGAAATCATTTTGCATTTATTTTTTTGTTGACATACCAGCAAGTAAGAAGAAAGTGTCAGTTNCTTCAACAGAAGTCATTTTGCATTTATTTTTTTGTTGACATACCAGCAAGTAAGAAGAAAGTGTCAGTTGGGATGCTGATCTTTCTAGGTGCCAAGAGACTTTGATATCGTCATGTCATATGGAGATACTAAGGATATCGCGCTTATTGAAAAAATGGAAAAAAAATAATCATCCGTTACTAGTCCTTGCTTCTTTTCTAACATGTAATTAGTTGGTTGCTGAAATCGTTAGTGTGATTTATTTTATAACATTTTGTTGTTTTTTTTTGTGTGGATGGGGTGTTTGGAACAAGAATGCATTCTCTTCATTTCACATGAGATGCTAACAAACCAATGCTACTTGGATAGAATTTGTTGAGTCATACAATGAAATTATGAGAAAAAGTCATTGAACGACGCCTAAAAGTTGAGACTACAGTATCGAAAAATCAGTTTGGGTTTATGTCGAGTAGATCAACTATGGGGGTTATATATTTATTGAGGACACTCATAAAAAAGTATAAAGAGAAGAAGACAAATCTTCANTAACAAACCAATGCTACTTGGATAGAATTTGTTGAGTCATACAATGAAATTATGAGAAAGAGTCATTGAACGACGCCTAAAAGTTGAGACTACAGTATCGAAAAATCAGTTTGGGTTTATGTCGAGTACATCAACTATGGGGGCTATATATTTATTGAGGACACTCATAAAAAAGTATAAAGAGAAGAAGACAAATCTTCATATGGTATTTATAGATTTAGAAAATTTGTATGATGAAGTACTTAGACATATAATATGGAGGGTGCTTGAGAGAAAAGGAGTGACGAATAAGTATATTGAGTTTATAAAGAACATGTATGACGGGGTTATGACTACAATTAGGTCTTCCATGGGAGAAAGTAAAGAATTTTCAATCATGGTGGGATTACACCAAGGATCGACCCTAAGTTCATACTTATTTGCCCTAATTATGAATGAACTCATTAGACACATTCAAGATGATGCCCTACGGTGTATGCTATTTGCAGGTAATATTGTATTAGTAAATGAAACTATAAGGGGGATTAACAATAAGTTGATAATTTGGAGAGAGACACTTGAGTCGAAAAGGTTTAAAATAAGTAGGAGTAAGACTGAATATATGCAATGCAATTTTAGCAATAAAAGAAGTAGATATAGTGAAAAAGTTAAGATTGAAAATTAAGAAATACTAACAAGTAAATAATTTAGATATCTAGAATTGATAATTAAAAATGATGGAGAGATTGGAGATAATGTAACTCATAGAATTAATGCTGGTTGACTTAAGTGGAATAAAGCCTCTGGCATATTATGTGATAGGAGGATACTAATAAAATTGAAAGGTAAGTTTTNGCATAATGAGCTCACAAGCAAGCATAAAATTTGTCGGGTGATGTAATATTAAAAAATAACTTTCATGNAAGACAGAATGTTGGACAACCAGAAAATAACAGTGACAAAATGAGTGTAGCAGAAATAAGAATGCTAAGGTGGATGTGTGAAAAAACTAGAAAGAATAGAATAAGAAATGTCCGTATTAGAGAAATGGTAGGAGTAGCTCTAATTGAGGATACCTTAAAGAGAAAATATATTAAGATGGTTTGTTCATATTCAAAGGAGGCTGATAGAGGCACCGGTTTGAAAAAGTGAGATAATCTTTCTTAATGGTACTAGAAGTAGGGGTAGACCTAAATTAACATTGAACAAAATAATAAGAAAATATATGAAAATATTTAACTTAAATGAGCGTATAGTGCATGATTGAAATGAATGGTGAAGACGGAAACATATAGCCGACCTCAAATGATTGGGACATAAGACTTAGTTTGATTTGGTTAATCGCTACCAATTCAATGATTATGATGAATTTTATCAGCAAATTAATTTCAAATAGTATTATTGATATCAAAATCTTATAAGTAGAAAGAAGCTCTCCACATGCGGGTAAGAAGCCTTCATCTAACCCTCCTTGCCCAGACTCACAGTGGTGAGAGACCTATGCACTGGCTGCCCCCTTTTATATTGAAATCTTAAAATATAGTAGAGAGAAATAAGAGTGAAAGGTGGGGATACATAGAAATTAGACACACATGTAAGAATGGAAGATTTTTGCCATGGAGGTCGAAGAGGATAGGTGTCTAGTGCCATGTTGTGAGGAAAATTCCATCCCCAACTGAAAAAAGGATCAAGTGGAGCTTGCTTTACTAAAGCAGTAAGAACTAAATGAAAGTTTCTTCTTAGAAAAGGTCATCAATGAGGATGACAGTGTGAGGTGATTTAGGCAGAATACATTATGCAATGGTCATTCCAGCTGGGCCTTGTGTTATTTGATGCTACAAATATATTGCTATATGATATTGGTGAAGCAGATTAATTTGTTTAATAGTTTTTGCCTGTTAAGCGTATAGGATATATGTATGTATACTGTTGTTTGGGCAAGGATACAACAAAATAGCAAGGCTTAATGTGATATATTTGAAGTCCTTCTGGCTAGTAAGTTAAGAGTAATTGGCTTGCTGTGCCTTTTTCCCTTGATTCATAGATCGAGATGTGGCAGCCCGTGTCTGAAAGTTGTCTTTCTTATTTAGCTTCACATTTTGTTGTAATGTCTTTGCAATGTTCGAGAATCAAGATTGGCCTTTTGAAATTGTGTTTGCTTTGATTTTTTATAAATATTTTGCCAGGAAGCCACCATGTGGTTTAGTTGTTTTTTTCCATAAAATATGCCAAATAAATTTCAAGGAGGTCTCACTTGGTCCCTAGTCCATGAGTTTATNGGGAAGCCACCATGTGGTTTAGTTGTTTTTTCCCATTAAATATGCCAAATAAATTTCAAGGAGGTCTCACTTGGTCCCTAGTCCATGAGTTTATCAATAAGTTACATTGCAAAGTGCAATGCATAGTTTGTACCCTTCAAAATGATCCTAGTCGTTTATAAGATTCAAATTGGACGTCAACTATGGCTTAATTGATTCTTGAAGATATAGTGGCTTCAAAAATTGGGCAAATTTTATTTTGACACTAGAAAGAAAGAAAAAAACAAACAAACAAAAGAGTTCATCAAATTGGATAACATTTTATGATAACATCCTTGTGATCTGCAATTTTAATTGCATTCTTGGAGACATGGTGCACCATCATCGGAATCGATTGATTTAGAACACAATTCTTTTCCATTTCCTTGCCTATCTTCAATGAATATTTTTTTCCTCCGCTATCTTTATGTTTTTTCCTAAATGCAGAGACAAATAAGGTTGAAGCATTACATAGCAAGTTTGTCCACATTCCTTTTGATAGCCCTTTTTCTTTTGTTTTTTTTGGGGGGTGGGGGGTGCGAACATTAAGAATCCAATAGCTGTTTAAACATGGGTTTGTTTATCTAATACATTTCTTTGATTTAGAAAGGCAGCAATCTTGCCTTTCAAATTGGCTTCTGTAGTTTCACTAAACAATTAAAGTTATCCCATTCCCACTGAGTGGGACCATGTGAGACAGGTAAGTGATCACCCTGTAGCCTTTTCTGTTTAGCTCATTCTTGGCCTATACAACTTTCACAAGCACTTGGCCAGTTACCAAAAGCCAACAAGATTCTTTACACTTGTGCTCAAAGGGTCTTCTTAGTAGTAGCTAGAAGTTTAAACCTAAGAAGGTGAGTAGTTGATACGAGTTTAATGAGCGAATCACCTTCCCAGCAGTGAGCATGCGAGCCTAGATGCAAGTTTCACTGATTGAACCCACGAGTACCCGAAAGTCGATACCACTAGATAAGATAAGAATCATACTTGTTTGTAGTCATGTGTGTGTGATTTCCCTTTTTCCTCTTTTTTGCCAGTCAAAACAACTTTTTTAAGGAATTCTTTATGTCTTGATGAAGTAAAGGAATCATTGCTTTTATAGGCATTATGGTTCCAAATAGAATGNTGTGTGTGATTTCCCTTTTTCCTCTTTTTTGCCAGTCAAAACAACTTTTTTAAGGAATTCTTTATTTCTTGATGAAGTAAAGGAATCATTGCTTTTATAGGCATTATGGTTCCAAATAGAATGAAGCATTTTTAACTTCTCAGAATATATTTAATCTGCTATGTTATTGCTTCTTCAAAGTAATCTGCATTTTCTTCAAGATATTGGGCGGATTCCTTTTCTTTTGATTCTCATTTAAATTGGGCTGCTCTTTTGGAGTCCATGATTGTTTATCCTCAATGTGCTCCAGTAGTTTTGGCTTTCTTTTGACATTGGAATTCTTTTATTTTTTTTTGATAAAAGAAGGAATTTATTATAGAATGGAAGAAAGAAAAAACAAATTACGATATTGACAACAAGATATACTCAAAAAGAATAAAAGCCAAATACATATCAAAGAACAATCACAATGAATGTTAAAATAGCGGAGCCTTCCAATTCAGTTAGAGATTGGACAAGTCAAACCTCCAAAGCTCCCTAAAGCTTTGGACTGAAGTGAAGTCATCCTAACAGTTCTTTTCCATACTAATTCTAAGGAAAATGGTGGTTATTGAAGATTCTTTCATTTTTCTCCATCAAAATACACCAAAT